TGAGTCAGTGTCCCATTAAATAAAGGAGTCCCTTGGCCTGACAGATGGTATAGTATCACACAGCCAGGTGTGGAGGAGAGCACACAGGCTCTGGAATTAAGCAGACTGGGCCGGCTCTTTCCCTCCATGCTCCAGTATCTTTTTGACCTAGAACATATTACCCAACCTTTCTACCCTAGAATTTCCTCTCCTGCAAACTGTGAACTGTGCGAACACTGCTGGGTTGTTCCAAGGATTAGAAATCACATTACCATGCTCAGCACAGGCTCCATCTTCAGAGGGCGTTGGTAAATAGGAATCACTATACAGCATGCTCACTCGGTATGGTCTCCAGACTCTGAGTCCTCTGTGATGCCAATGCTTCCAGCGCCAGATGAGCATATCAGGTATACTTTCCGGCCACACATTAAGCCAAATTCTGTTTCCCACAGTCTGTCCATCAATTTGGGTGCTGCCTTTTATGATCCCACAGAACAAATCTAAACTTGTTCCAACAGTTAATTATAAAACATTTGAACAGTTTCTGTGTCTCCCTAACCTTCTCCATGGTGAGCCCTTTTAGACATGTGAATCCTTCCAAAGACCTTGCTTGATCTCATTGAGGATACTTCTAGGACCCTTTCCTTCCTATGTGAACATCCATGGGAAGGTGTTTGTCAGCTGTAAGGAGATACAAGGATAGCATGTCTGAGAGGCAGTATATCCTGAATAAATTCGTGTGAACATGAGAGTGAGGGCATCTCATAAATATAGTTCACACTCTCCTATCTTTCACCACTATATTGAGGGACATGAATATTATTACTTCCTGTAGCTCTCATTGATGCTGTTGCATTGCGGTCTTCAATTTTTTTCTCTGTGTGTCTAATGATTCCCATGTGACTGGAAGTTCCTGCCCTTCAACTTTAGATTCAAAAGCATGACCTGCTTTAACCACAAAATGAGACACAAGTGACAGCAGGCCACTTCCAAACATAGGCTTAAGAGGCTATTGGTTATTTCCATGTAGCTTTCAGTATCCTGTCATCATGAGAAGAATATACTCACATTAGCTTACCAGTCCAAGGAAGCTAGGAGACTTGTTGAACTGGGCCCTCAACAAAGGAATCAGTCAGCATATAGCCAAAGCATAGGCTCTTGAGCAAAAGCAAATGTTTTTAAGATAGTTTGTTATATAGTATTTTTGTGCCAAGCAGCAATTATACAGAAATTATGTGGACCATGAAACATACATATAGAAAGCAAGTCTAATCTTATCTATCGTAATATAAGTTTTAAAGAATTTATGGATGGGATTACAAAGCTATAATCAAGTTAAATGAATGTTTTATTAAAATGTTTTAGCAATCTGCAACTTTAAAGTTAAAAAAGTGACTAAGGCTGGGCGTTGGTGGCGCACGCCTTTAATCCCAGCACTCGGGAGGCAGAGGCAGGTGGATCTCTGTGAGTTCGAGGCCAGGCTGGACCGACAGCCTCCAAAGCAGAGAAACCCTGTCTGGTAAAAACCAAAAAAAAAAAAAAAGGTGACTAAGAAGAAAATAAGTATGTGTACTAATGTGTACTACATCAAGTGAGTGAAATGGCGAATGACGAAAGCAAACTGACTTACCAAAGAGACATAGAAAGTCAGGGAACTGGCACAATTCATGACATTAGTCAGCCCATGATGAGTATCCACCGTGTGTCAGTACTAATCTGGACTCTGAAAATAGATTGTGAAGAGAAAGTCACAAGGCTCAAGTCTCAGAAGGTTTGTATTCTTTTGAATATTCTAAAGCTAAACATTTTTAAAGACCAAAGGGACAGCCAGATCATATGTTCAATGAAGAAATTCAAACAGAGTAATGGCTACATGGGATAGCCAGAGGAAGACCTCTCATGGGATGAGACTTACGTGTTACAAAAGATCCACTGGAAGAAAGATAACATTGAGGGCCATAGAAATGCAAAAGCCATGATCTAGCAACAGCCTCTGAGTGTCTGAGGTGGAAACAGGTGGAGGGAAGGGCAAAAACATTTCAAAATGAAGAGCCATATTCAAAGAGGAGAGGGCATGTGGAGCTCTGCCTGCCACAATAAAGGCAATGCAACTCCTTGGAATGGAAGACTATGACCTGATTTTCCAGGCTTCAGGAGCTGTGTGGAGAAGAGATTGTGGGTAGATAAGAGTGGATGGGCCAGTTAGATTGTTGCATCATGGTGGTTACTCTGGGGAGATATCAAAGCTAGAGAGAGGTAGGCAGGCCACTGGTGCATTTTGGAAATATGATCAAGGCTCACTGATGAATCAGACGCAAGTAAAGTAAAGGACTGCATGTGAGTTCTAGTTTTTTAGCTGGGGTAACTCACTGGGTGGTTGGTGGTGCACTTCTGGAGATGAGGAAGACTGGAGGAGAAGTAAACCAGAGAAGTCAAGAGTTCTGTGTGGATGAGTTCATTTGGACTCAGGCCTCTAAGGAAACTAGGCGGGTGGACATACTAAGTTTGTGTTCGATGCTGAAAATGGCAGTTGGCAGGTATCAGCACAGAGATGGTGTTTTAGTCAGAACCTAGATTAATTCATCTAGGGAAAGAGTTCACTTTTTAATTTAAAATTTAAGAACTTTTAAATTAAAAAATGTTAGCAGAAAGAAGTGGGAGGACTATACTGTAGCACAAGCTGACATTTAAGAGCTTAGCAGAGGGAGAGGAGACGGAAGAGGAGTCTGAGAGAGACGTGACAGAGTGCAGAGCGATGGAGCCAAGAGAAGACAGCCTTCCAGGAGGAGGCTCACCAGCTTGGCTTTGGTTGGAGTGAAGATTAACTGAATCATAAAGTAAGATGAGGACAGGGGAATGATTGGAAGTGTATAGCTGATCAATAACCCTGAAAATTAGGTACTCAGGCTAATCGTGGTGGCTCACACCTAGGATGCCAGCAGTTGGGAAGCTGAGGCAAGAGGATCTCTAGTTCAAGAACAACCTAGGCTAAGTAAGAGATAGAATAGAACCAACTATCCAACAAACAGACTAGTGGAGAGAGAAATTGAAACAGAATGGTTGAAAAGTGACCAGGGGGTAGAAGGGGATGACCCCGAGATCTTGAGGAAGAGGGAAAACAGAGATGCAGAGAACTTGGATCGATTTACTTTTGGTTTAAGCACAAGATACAGGAGCACAGTGGAATGTCAGTGGATATAAATCAACAGGGAAAAATGTTGGTGTTGAAGTCTCACCAGGGTAGACAAACTTAGCAGTCCTTGAAAAGGGGAGCTGAGAGTAGAGAGGAGGTGTGAGCTTCCACAGGACCTTTTATGGTAGAGGGGACAGGCAGTGACGGCTGGAGAGAGCCTATAAATAATCAAGCTTTCTCAATGACATGTGACTTTAGGTCAGCATTTGAGGATTCGGGACTTTCTAGATTATGTCCTTCATTTGCAACTCACTAAACTTGAAAAAAAATTAAATTGGTCACTCCTTTTACAATGTATTTTAGAAGGCATTATAGATGACTGATAGTTCAGAAGATAGATGATAGATAAATAGATAGATAGATAGACAGACAGACAGACAGACAGGACTACTTATGGAGATGGGAGTGAAACTGAGAGATGTTACACCAGAACGGCCTAACCCCCAGCAGGAGTTCCCATCCTAAAGTCCAATGAGCCAAGAGAAAACAACACTGAGATCCAAGTGAGCACCTTAGCCATGAGGGAAGGCCCACCCACTGTGACGACTCATCCAGGAGGTTGGAAATGGGGCAAAGCAGAGATGTGTGAGAAAGAAACAACTTGACTTCATTCTCTTCTCATTTTTTGCTGATTGTTTCAAAAGACTAAGCTCAACAAGAATCCAGCTGGCAAATGATCCTGACTAATGTGTATGTGAGGTCCTTCTTTGGACCACCAGCTCTCCAGTAATAACTTGGAGACTTTTTATTAATTATGAAAGCTTGTCCTTAGCTCAGGCTTGTTCCCACGTAGTTCTTAAAACTTAAATTAACCCATTTATATTAATCTACGTCTACCACGTGGCTTGTTACCTCTCCTCATTACCAAATGCCTGACTTCCTTAATGTCTGGCTAGTGAGTCTCCTGCACCTCCAATTGTATCCCAGAGTTCCTGTCTCACCCTGGAAATCCTGCCTACCCTCTCCTACCTAGCTATTGGTCATTCAGCTGTTTACCGAACCAATCAGAAGGTGCCTTAGGCAGGTGAGGTAAGACAGAGATACGTTCATACAGTATACAAAAAGGTTGTCCCAACAAATGTGATTCATGGTGAAGGTCAGAGAGTAGATATGGTGGAGACAAGCAGCACGATATTTCATACCATAGAGACTGAATCAATGATGGAAACCACTCCTAGGGGCATCTTTACACCCAATGCTACTATACAGAACATAGCTTGTGAGTGCTACCCAATGGGATTTGGAAAATGCAAATGGTGCCTTTTGCAAATCATTGCAAAATCCACCCTCAGAATCCACTGCCACTACTTGTCTGCAATGTTTACTCCAGCCATCCCTCTTTTATTCCACCACAGGCCTTAAAATTGGGGCAGCTTGTGCTTCTGGCTGCTCATTTGCATGAGCTCCTTCCAAGGCCAGGAGACAGCTCTAAGAACACATCTAACTAGCCATGTGCCTTTGTAAAAATTCTGAAAGATATTTATTTTAACTGTCCATTAACCCTGTGACTTCCTACTCTGACCCTAGCGAAGTCTCTCTCATCCCCAAAATTGTATAAACTTTCGGTTCCATAAAACATACAGCTGCCTTTGTTTTCAGTCTGGATGTAGACTCTACCACCTTTGGGGCAGCTTGATTAACGAGCACTTGGTGATATGAGAAGGCTACGGGAGGATGGCAAATCCAGGAGGGAGGACATTAAGCTCCAGACAGCCAAAAGATACCTGTGTTTGAACAGTTCTTGGCTGTCCCCTGGGGTATTGACGCATAGTCGGGGGCCCCACCATTTCTCTGTGAGGGACTCACATGCTGTTCTTTGCATTTTCAGATGCAGATGGGAATCTGTGTCGAAGTAACCAACTGCTACAAGTCATGCTGACCATGCACCGGATCATCATCTCCTCAGCCGAGCTGCTACAAAAACTCATGAGCCTATATCCTTGGGCATCAGCTGAGGCTGCAGCCTCAAGTGTGCTTTTATTTTCATTGGTTTGGAATAAACCTGAGCAGTAAAAGGCTTCATCTGTCCTTTTAAGGGTATAGGGGTGTGTGTGTGTATGTGTGTGAGTATGAGTATGTATGTATGTGTGTGAGTGTGTGTATGTATGTGTGTGAGTGTGTATATGTATGTGTGTGAGAGCGTGTGTGAGTGTGTGAGTGTGTATGTGTGTGAGCATGTGTGAGTGTGTGTATATGTATGTATGTATGTATGTATGTGTGTGTGAGCATGTGTGTATGTATGTGTGTGTGAGTGTGTATGTATGTGTATGAGTGTGTATGTATGTGTGTGTGAGTGTGTGTGTGTGCACACACCTGTGTGTATATGTAACTGTATGTGTACACCTGTGTGTGTGGCTTCTTTTAGGTAGGACAGTATTATTTATGCCAGTTTCCCTGAGTGGTAGGTGGTCAAAGAAATCAACATACAAATGCTGCAACATTAATAATCTCTTGCTAGTAAAAAAATTTCCTTATACATTAGTCACAAATATTCATCCTACACAGACTGACCAGGGAAGTTGTGAGTCTTGAGTCATGAGTTTCTTTTTTTTTTTTTTTTGGCTTTTCTTTTATTGAGCTATACATTTTCCCCACTCCCCTTGGCTCCTCCCCTCTCCCTCTTCCATTCTCCCCTCTGTCCCCCATGCTCCCAATTTACTCAGGAGATCTTGTCTTTTTTCCATGTATGTCTCTCTTAAGGTCTTCTTTGTTACCTAAGTTCTCCGAGGTTGTAAGCTATAGTCTGTTTGTCCTTTGCTCTGTGTCTGATGTCTACTTACGAGTAAGTACATATTATATTTGTCTTTCTGGGTCTGAGTTAATGAGTGATGTGTTTCTTTATGAACTTCACATGAGTTCTTGAGCCTTCCTGGGCTCCGAAGAAAGGTTCAGCTATTCGATCAGCACTGCCTTCTTACTCTAGGCTGTGATGCTGACTGTGGACCAATTAGACCTTGCTAAACATGGGCCTCCTGTAGCAGGGCATAGTAAGTGCCCAGTTTTTTCTTCAGAATGCTGGTGATACTGTGAGCTATAGTCCCCAAGAGAAAAGTGCTGTAGGGGACATGAGACCAGTCAGTACCTGAGGCCTTGGTCTCTGAGGATGAGTCAGGATATGTGACTGTGACAATCCTTTTCCAGAAAACAAAACAAACAAAAGATACACTACAACCTGGGAAAGAAAAGGAACGATTAAATAGGCAGGACAGATTCCCTTCTCTAGACCTCCTCCATGAAGCTGTTCTTCCATCTCAGAGACCAGTTTCCCAGGGGTGTGACAAGGGTAGAGCGTAGGGAGAGGCCACCTAATGAGACATACCTGCAGTGAGTGGGAGCCTCCTCTGCAGTGAACTTCAAACCCATTCACTCTGCTTTCCCGACTCCATACACCAATAATTGTGAACAGTGCCAGCAATTAAACACTCCTCCCTGAAAATGTGCTGGCCTGAGGACCAAACGTACTTGAGTGGCCTCCTTTGGGGCACCGCTGGGTGCTGTTCCTGCAGCACCCCCTACACTGCCGGTCCTGCCACATCCCACACACCCCACCCCCTCCTCCCTGTGCTCTCACAAGCCTTTCAGTGGCACCTGCTCCCCAGCCACGACACATTCAAATGTCCTGCATCCAAAAATGAACTCAACCCTGTTTCCCCTTTATTCGACTGTTAGGATTAGAAGTTGGACGTGAAACCTTCTTAAATAGTCCGCCTTTACAAGCTCCAATCTCTACTCCTACTCACTCCTCAACACAACTGCGGCTCCCACGGAAATACACAGGCTTCCCTCAGTTGCCACTGTGGCCTCTCAGCCGCCAGGCACAGTGGGCTTTGCTCCATTCTTGCTCATACCTCCCAGCAGCATTTGACAGCCTATGCCTCTGACGCCTTTCCCCCAGGACTCCTGAACCATACCTTCCCGTGTCCTTCCCAGGTCCTCATGTGACCTCTACCCCGAGCACACTTGCGCACAGGGTCCATCTGCTGTCTTCTCACTCAGCAACCTTCTGTGGGTGGTTTCACACGATGATTCCTCCACCAGTCTACGGACCCAAGATGGCTTTCGAGTTTACGTTTCCCTGTCATAAACCATTTTCTTGAAGGTCTGGACCAGTTTTTCCTGCTAACATTTTAAGGTATTTTAGCTTGCCTCCCATGTTTGTTTTTGTTTGGTTGGTTGGTTGGCTCTTTAACCCCACATAGCATAGCATACCAGTTTCTGTCTAACCCCGCACGGGCTCCTGTATTTTCAGTTGCAGGCAACAGTACCCTTGCCTAAGACAGAAACATGGTGCAGCAAACAGCTGAGGACTGGGGGAGTCTGAAGGATGCTTGGAAGCCTCGCAGTCCAGGTGCTGCTGAGGTTGCAGGGAATGCAGCCCCTGTGCACAAACATCAGAAGGCTACGGAGGAGGTTCCCCTGTAAAACACACCAACACCTTTGATTCGACATTTCCACTTAGCTCTTTCAGAGGAGAAGGTGTGTGTGTGTGTGTGTGTGTGTGTGTGTGTGTGTGTGTGTGTGTGTGTGTGTGTGTGTGTCCCCTTCCCTTTTACTAAGGAAGAATAAACACATCAATGAGTTGAAAAAGTTGATTAAAAACATAGAACTCCAAAAGTATTTATCAAGAATGTGCCCTTACGTGCTATTTATGTTGATGTTATACGTTTTCTTATTGGAACAAAGAAGTGTGTGGCCATTTTGGCTTCTGAACCTTTTCCTTCATCCATTTGCCACTGGTAGCCTGGACTTTTGCTTGTGCTGTTGATGAGTGAGGTTTTGTGTGGAAGAGGGTTGTGATTTGTGTGTGTGTGTGTGCGTGTGTGTGTGTGTGTGTGTGTGCCTAATGTGTGTGCATGCTCTAATTTCAAGAACAGATTTAATAAGAAACTAATATATCCATATTTAATTTTTCAAATTAGTCCTATATTTATTAAAATTAAATTTTTAGCATAATTCTTTGTGTTTTCAAGTTTAGTTTGCTCATCTTTAAGCTTTTAGGGTTTTTTTTCTTGAGCTGTGATATAGCACTCTGATGGGCTAACATTATCTTATGTGTTCTAAAGCTGAGCATACAGTGAAATTTCTGCTTAAAACACATGTCTACTGCACTTACTCAAATATTCCACACTGAACTTTCAAGTCTTTGGGTCTAAGACATTCAAAATCATTCAGAAACACACAGGTTTTCACAGGAAACACAGCACTAGGGTTGTGATGAGACCTGCCTTTTCTGTTTTTAACTCCGCTTTCCAAAGGGGAATATATTCGCACCTACCGAGGGAAGAACATTTCCACTCCAGTTATGGGATTGTGGCTGGTTGTAACTAGACCCATCTCACTGGCCTAACTGTATTCCATTGATCCCTATATTACGGTCATCAGATAGAGAAAAAGGCCATGGCCTTGTGAGGTGGACAGCCAGGTAGCTTGCTCTTCAATCTGTCAACAGAAGAAAGGTAATAGGACCACATTTTCTACTAGAGTTCTCGTCCGTTTCATAAATATGAAAGTACCCTTTCCTTATATCTCAAAGGACATATATATGCAGGGATATTCTTTTGTCCTTTCAAAATATTCAGAATTATAAAGACCATTAAAACATTCTTTGGTTATGTTTTGGAATATTTCATGACTTTGCCATGGCAATCAATGCACAAAGGTTGGCCATGATGCCTGGTGTGTGTGTGTGTGTATGTGTGTAGTGTGTATGTTTATATATGTATGTTGTATATGTGTGTATATGTATATGTGTATGTGTGTAGGAGAAAATGTTCAAGTTATTGTTCTTATTTATTCACACATTTGAATATATATGTTAATTTATATTTCCCTAAGTCACTGCCCAAATAGTTACTGAATAAATCAGTTACTGGAAAATTTTAAAAGATGATGGGGATCTCTTTCTAGCTTACTCATTCAGTTGGCTTCCTAGTCTCTTGGGCACAGGCAAGAGGTGATTTGCCCACATTTCAGGGGTTGATTTAGTAGGTACTTCGAAAGATGGCCATTTTATGGTTTCTGTAATGTGGCGTCTATTTCCCTTAACCACAGCCCTACATATAAGGATGCCTTGGAGAAGAATTCTCCAGGAATTTGCCTGAAAATCTGCTATTTTGTCAGGTAATGTCTGTGTGACTTAGAGACGATGTGGAGTGGGGTGAGAAGAGATGAAAAGCTGCTCTCTGGATTCTGCTCTTTCTGGTCTTCCAGCCCCTCCCTCTCAACCTCCTGTAGGCTGCCTCTGACTCTGTAGCCTGCCTCTGACACTGTAGCCTGCCTCTGACACTGTAGCCTGCCTCTGACACTGTAGCCTGCCTCTGATTATATAGCCTGCCTCCAACACTGTAGGCTGCCTCTGACACTATAGCCTGCCTCTGACACTGTAGCCTGCCTCTGACACTGTAGGCTGCCTTTGACACTGTAGGCTGCCTCTGATACTATAGGCTGTCTTTGACAGTGTAGTCTGCCTCTGACACTATAACCTGTCTCTGACTCTGTAGCCTGCCTCTGACTCTGTAGCCTGCCTCTGACTCTGTAGCCTGCCTCTGACTCTGTAGCCTGCCTCTGGAAATTGATGCTGCCTCTGGAAGGACCAAAACAGCAAAAGGGCTTACTATTGGAAACTCAACTAAATACAGTAGACTTCCTCTTTTGTACCTGTGCTTAAGATTCTTATCCTTTTTCCTTTTAGTCTTATGACAGTTTGTACATGATACAAAAGAAGGATACAAAGACAATCAAGGGCCTGTATTTTCTTTATTTTTATTCTTAATTGTTGTGGCAATATAGCTCATTGAATATTTTGAAAATTCTGAAAATAATATAATAAACAGTCATAACTAATTATTTTGTATATATCCTTCATGAAATCTTTGTTTTGTTTTGTTCTTTGTTTTTAGTAGTTTTCACTAATTTTTTAAGTTAACACACAATTGATAGTTTCCTTATGGCATTTTCAAACATAAATATCATTATGCTTTGTTCCTTTTCATCTCTTTTCTGTTTATGTTCCTCTATCTCTCCATCCCCTTGCTTTTGTGTGCCTTTAATTCCAGGACTTCAGAGGCAGAGGCAGACAGATCTCTAAGTTTGAGGCCAGCTTGGTCTACAGAGCAAGTTCCAAGACAGCCAGACTTACACAGAGAAACCCTGTCTCAAAAAGCAAAACAAAACAAAACAAAACAAAATGTGTGTATAGAATGCTTTTATATTGTGTATCTTTTGCTTAGCTTTCTGTTGTAAAAAAGTCTCTGTAGTTTTTACAAGTTTTGATAAACATTATTTTTCAAAGCTTTAGTAACATGTAATAAAACATACTTTACACACCCCATTTTTTAATATTTGCTCGTCTACATGGTTGTGTCTAGATCCTGTCTGGTCCCTTGATATAGGCCTTGTCCCATCAAAGCATTTGTGTGTGGAGACACCAAAGTCTGCTAGATGGTTTTCTTTCCTCCCATAACCCTCTACCCCCAGATCTTTTACTACAGACAATTCACCCTCTGTCCTCTTCTGAGTAATTTTGTGTCCTCAAATTCCTTTGGGAATCTGCCTTACTGTGAAGCCCTGGGCTCAGTGTTCTTCCTAACTCTCTCCTTGTAGGTATTGGATAACAGAATTCTGGATCATGTTCAAAATGGATGCCAGCTTGACCAGCACCATGGAAGAGTTCCAGGACCTGGTGAAAACCAATGGTGAAGAGTCCCACTGCCGCCTGATTGACACTACACAAATGTGAGTGTTAAAAGTCCTGATGGGCCTTTGAAACCACCCCCCTCCAGTAACCGGCGCTGTAGTACTGAGTCTCCCATTCCCTCCACCTCCAAGAAGCTCAGACAGGCAGGTTCGGGAGCCCCACCAAAAATAACTTGACATTTACTAGGGAAGCAGAGAGGCCCCAGTGAGGAAGCTGCCGGGTACATGAGCAAAGAGCAGAAGGTAGCTAGACTTTGCTAGAAGGTATCCAGTCTGTGAGAAACAGCCCAGTGTCTAGACTAGGGCCTCGTTTGTAGTTGATACAACAGGCACCTCTGCACCTACACGGAGCAGCCACTATCGCGAAAGGTCCCAAGCAGAAACTTAGAGCACATATGGATAGATGTCTGTGAAAGACCATTAAACTCCCAGAGCCGAGAAGGAACTCAAGGATGCTTCATGTCATACTTCAAGTTCCTTATTCACAGGGTTGACTCACTCTGGAAAATGAGCCCTTCTTAATTTGGGGAAGGAGGTCACACATTTTACATGCTGGGGTTTTTATTTGTGGTTAATTGTTTTTGCAATAATACAAATTCCCAAAATACAGAGTTCTAGAACTGCAGCATATTGGAGAGATCAATTCACCCAAAATACTGTTTTGGCCTGGGGTCTGTGATTGACTGGCCTGTATGTGACTAACCTGGAGTCTGAGTCTCTATCTATCCCTTATCTTTTTATTGCTGCCATGCTTTTAACACAGCTGAGACGTGCACCAGTGGCAGAGTAATAGCTGTACTCCAAGCCTTGCATGTAATACCTATGTAGGAGGGCGCATGCGTGCACGCACACATACACACACACACACACACACACACACACACACACACAAAATAATTTCAAAGTCACACTCCATAATCCCAAATCAATCTTTACATCTATTTGGGTCCTCTCTATTTCTCTTTTACCTGTGAATTACACAACTTCATAGATAAAAGAAATTTTTTTTCAAAGTAACAACCTTTTCATTTTAAGATGAAAAACCTAGAGCCCAGGCCACTTGAAAACCTTAGTCTTCTGTCCTGATATTTTCTAGCTGGATTTCCTCCCCCAGGGTTTTGCACCATTCTTCAGAACATGTTTGTTGAGGATATGATCTGACTTGATATAGCTAAGGAATTGCAAGTTACGTTTTCCTTTGTATTTGAAAGCCTTCAATAGGGGGGAAGAGCTCTACAGACTTTGCAGCCTTTCCCAAACTTCAAATGTCCAGAGCCGAGGCTCTCAGAAATGCCAGTTTAGAAACCCAGGCTTGCATCCTGCTGCCTTCCAATACCAGCTGCTTTCCTCTGCTTAGAGCGAATCTGAGACTAAGAGAGCTTCTCGCTGGACTGTGAGGACACTGAGGAATCCCTGGATCATTTTAGGGTCAGCTAGTTTGTATGGTCATTTTCACAACTGGGGAGATAGGAGGAAAATGACGGATTTCTGCCCAGAGCGAGCACATGTTCCTACCAATGAGCTTTGCAGCACAGTGTCTTCTCTATTTTTCTCTGCCCTCTGTTGGCCCCCTCTTATGATCTCCGTCAACAGTCCCATAACCCTAACAGGAATGAAGGAACACACAGAGTCATTGAAAGAGTAGGCATAATAAGGTCAGAGAAAGAGCCAGGACCAATGCCTAAAAAGTATCCCGTCCTGTTGCCCTCCTGTCCCTCTTGCTGCACCCAGAAGGCTCACTTCTTTGAATTGCTGTTGTAGAAAAAAATTGATTTAGGGAAACTCAGTTAATGCATCATTTATGCCAGACAAAGCTAGCTAACCATGCCTTGGGAATTCTTGTGGGTGATGCTGGTGTGCTTACTCATGAAAAGCAATTGTGATTTATTCTTCTTGTCTTCTCCCTTTCTCATTTACCCACCAAAGTAATTCTCGAGACTGGTCCAGGAAACTGACTCAAAGGATAAAATCAAATACCAGCAAGAAGCGGAAAGTCTCCCTGCTGTTTGACCATCTGGAACCTGAAGAACTGTCTGAGCACCTCACCTACCTTGAGTTCAAGTCCTTCCGAAGGATTTCTGTACGTAGCCAGGGGGCAGGAGGAAGCCTACTCTGGGATCTTATGATCATGAGCAGAGAGTAGCAGCAGCCAGGTGCCCTCCTGACCCAGCATGACCCTCTCCCTGCTGTGGGGCCGGGAGACTTCCCTAGCAGGCATTGTGGGATCTGGAAGCCTAATGCCATCAGGGTTCCTTTAGCTGTCCCTGTTTCTGCTTCCCCATGTCACACCCTCTGTGCCCACAAACCCCTCTAGCATGCACTCAGCCTAACCAGGTGTGACACTGCAGGCACACACAATACCCTACATGCATGCTTGCATGTTAGGATGCACACGCCCTTCACCCCTGAAAAGGATTAGACCTTTAGAAAAGTGTTTTATAATTTTTCAAAAAAGAAAAAGTGGGAGTAAGTTCCCTAAGAGTTAGAATTCCAGGGTAGGCTTTGACTAGCTCTGGGAAGTCCTAAAAACAAAACAAATGTGACCAATCTTTCTAAAACATACCTAAATTCTGAAATGGTGCCAGCATGGCCAGCATTACCACACAACTGGAAGAGAGCATTTGGCCTAACTCAAGCTGTTGGTGTAGCCAAATAGAGCAAAGGTAAAGAGGGATGAAGGGGGAGGGATTCAACTTAACCATCAACAACAAGGAGCGATCACGGTACATCCTGCCCTCACTACAGTCCTCACAACTAACTCTGCAGGACACCTGAGAGCACGACTCCACACAAGAGAACTTGCCCCCTGCCCAAGAGAACTGGCCACCATGTTAGGTGCAACATGCTGTCACTGGCCAAAGTGCTTTACTGAAGCATGACACACTTCCCCCACACACACACTTTTCCCCTCAGTCAGTACTTTGCTGCCTGTCTTAGAGTGACCTCTATTCCCCAGATGTAGGACGGAGGGCCAGAGGGTTGGCTTGAACAAGGTCTGCACAGCATTATTAGAACTCATGTCTCCCAGTCACTCAGCAACAACTTACTGAGCCTAGCTGCATGTAGATGGAGGCGAGTAAACCAGATTGCAGAGATTATGTCGTATTTCCCCCATAACATTGATATCCTGACTGCCATCACTCAACCAGAGAGACCCAGGAGCTTCTCCTTGGAACTGGCTCCAAACACTCCCAGTGCTAATTACCCAGTTTCCTCCTGGGCACCCCTCACACAGAGCAACAGGCCCTCATTGTGAGGCTCCAGCCAAGGGTTTTTTTAACCCACCTCCCCTGCCCCAAGGCTAGACAGAACTGGAAGTCTCTGAAAAGGGACCATTATCACTTTGGAAATCAGAGTTGTGCTGGCGACAGTGGCAAGCTGTCCCAGGCCTGTGTGATGTCTGCTTGATGCTAGTGCTTAGCTACGGGGAGGCAGAAGTGACGGTGAAGGACAGGAGTCAGAGCCAGCATCTCTGAGTTGAGCAGTATTCTGTTTACAAATGAAAGTTTCTTTCTTTTGAGTGGCATGGCCCCTTCGTAGAAGGCTACTTTGGTGGATTCTTGTTTGCTTTTATTTTCCTAAGAAATTTTTTAAATTTATTTTTCAGTTTAAATTTAGATAAGAAACAAGGTTGCTTCACAAGTCAGTTCCAGGTCCCTCTCCCTTTCCCTCCCTCCTCCCGTGCCCTCCCCCCAATCCCCCCATTATCCCCTCATTTCCCCAGGGAGGGTGAGGCCCTCCATGGGGGTGTCCATAGTCTGTCATTTCATATAGGGCAGGGCCTAGACCCTACCCCAAGAGTTCAGGGTGAGAGTGTACCTCACATTGTTGGATGGGAGTCCAAAGTCTGTGTGTATACTCGGGATGAGTACTGATCTGCTGCCCAAGGCTCAATAGATTACCTAGGCCTCCTCACTGACACCCACATTCAGGGGCCAGCATGGGACTGATCAAGAAATTTTTTAAAGATTTATTTATTTATTACATATACAGTGCTCGGTCTACACGCCAGAAGAGGGCACCAGATTGAATTGCAGATGGTAGTGAGCCACCATGTGGTTGCTGGGAATTGAACTCAGGACCTCTGGAAGAGCAGCCAGTGCTCTTAACCTCTGAGCCATCTCTCCAGCCGCTTTCCTAAGAAATTTTTGCAAATAATAATTTTCCCTCCAACATTGGGGAAATGTATCTCTGCTGTTATTTGGGAAAATTGTATTACATTGAAAATTTTCTCTTTTAAAGAGACCAATAGATTGAACATTTTTCTAGTGAGAAGGGATATAATGTATTCATCTGAATTAGGATGACCACATCCTCTTAGAACCAGGAAGACCAGCAGTCACAGCACCATGGGATGGAGGCCAGTGAATGGGCATCTGGACGTCTGTTTTATTTATGCAAGGCAGGCATTCACATTTCCCCTCTCTCTGTATCTCTGTCTCTCTCTGTCTCTCTCTCTCTCTCTCTTGGAAGTTTATTTTCTACCGCACTACAAGTCTAACAGGTGTCAGTCGAGGCTGTTTGGAATGGCCTGTCTTCCTCTGGTTGGAATCCCCACCATCTCTGGAGCACTGGAAAGGTAGAACGGCAAGGCAGACGTTGGCACTTACCCTGGTCCTGATGCTTCACTCACACTCTCTAGCTATTTCACCTGGCTTTCAAAGTGCAAGGTTCAACACAGCACCAGAGCCTCCCATAGGAATATTCCTGGAGACTCCGTTCTTGTTTACTGTTGAAGCAGAGAGATTCTTGTAGCAGACACATGCCAGCTATAATCATCACCAAGACCAGACCATCCAGGATAGTTCAGTTTCACACATGCAGCCCCATTGTTATCCTACCTAATGCTACTGACAGGTTGGGACAACATGGTCACTGTATGTTTATTCAGCTGTGTTTCAGGTACCCTTCTCACTTGGCCCTGCTCAAGGTAATTCAGACAGGCTAGTGTCAGCATGGTTTTCCTATTAGCACTACTTCATATTTGTGCAGAACTGTGAAGAACAGGAGTGCTTCCCTACCATGTGTGATCTTGATGTTTATAGCAAGCTCATGTCCTAAGAAGGGGGTGGGGTTATGATCACAGTTATCTGTAGACAGCAGATGGAAAGAGAAAGGTTCTAGAAAGAGAATTGTGTTCTTGAACTGGAGACTCACAGCAAGAACTAAGAGACATTTTCTACTACGCTGTACTCTGTTCAGAAGTGAGAGAACATATCTACTTCAGTTTGCTATTTGGATTCACTGACGTGTACGCATCCTTGTGGGCCTAATAGATTTCATATAAAGAGGCCCCGATGTGGTCTACCACCCATCATTCTTTTTGGCTTGGTAGCAAAGATGCCAGGGAGATAGTCATAGGCTTGTTTGCCCATACTGGTTCCCAGCCATCACTGAGCAGAGCTGATGCGCCCCTCAGAACTCCAAGAATGCCTCATGGTTGTCTTTTTTCCCTCCAGTTCTCTGATTATCAAAATTACCTTGTAAATAGCTGCGTGAAGGAGAACCCCACCATGGAGCGGTCCATTGCCCTGTGCAATGGCATCTCCCAGTGGGTACAACTGATGGTTCTCAGCCGTCCCACCCCGCAGCTCCGGGCAGAGGTCTTCATCAAGTTCATCCACGTGGCCCAGGTGAGTGGCTGGACTGAGACAATTATCCTAGGCCTTGAGGTAAATGACTTAGCCCTTTCACCCTGAGCCTAGTCTGTCAGAGTTATGTCCCCTATGACCCACAGTGGAACCCTTCTGTTGTCTCCTGGTCTAGATATGCAACTCTTCCGCTTTCTCACCCAAGAGCAGTATGGAAGGCCATGTGGGCCATCTCAAGATCAAGACTCAGCTCTTTAATTTTTTTTTAGGAGACACATTATTTTCTTATAGCTGGCCACATGGCAGGCAGATGAGCAGAGCCAGGCCAGCCTGAGTTATCTTAGGTCCTCAGATCAAGGCTCCATGAATGGTGTATTCAGTGTTGGGTAACAGAGCTTCTAATGTCCCTTCCCCAGCTGTTATCCTTTACTGGCATAAGCATTGCACAGTGGAATAGCATCTTCTCCTGGCAACAGGATAAAGGCAATAAGATTGTGCTTATTATATTGTCTGACTCGGGATGGTCTACATCAGTGTTTCTCCAAGTTTGGAAATGGCCCACCTGCTCTGATATTCATTAGAGACCGATGAGACCTACTCTAAGCCCCCCTCCACCCCACCCCCCTGTCCAAGGAGCCAGAAAGTATGGATTGGGTCCAGAAGTCTTTGTGAAGGATGGACTCAATGATTCTTGGAAACCAACAGTTCAGATGGTAGTCCACAGATCAGACACCACAAAAAAGAGGCACCCGACCTCCCTGCTGATCTCAGATCTGGTCTGGAGGTCAATGAAAAGGGGAAAACACCGCAGCTTCTGGCTGTTAGTCCAACAATTATATGGGAAATGCACAGCACAGAGATGTCAGCTTCTAAGCACCCCGTGTAATGACATGCAGTGTGATTTTGCTGTCTTCTGTCCCATGTCAACAGAAGCTCCACCAGCTACAGAACTTCAACACACTGATGGCTGTGATAGGGGGACTGTGTCACAGCTCCATCTCCAGGCTCAAGGAGACAAGTTCACATGTACCACATGAGATCAACAAGGTCAGTGAGCTGTCTTCCTCTGGGGCCTTTAAGACTACGTGTCCCTTGTCAAGCAGGTTAGGGGACAGGGAGGCAAACCCTCAGGAAATCAGGATGGGTGAGTAACTCACATGAGAGTGTGTGAGAGATTCCACCTGGCCTCAGTGTCACTGTGTCCCCTTCTACCAGACCACTTAAAATAATGTGTCCCTCTTCCTTACATCTACAAGTTGTGAAATGTTCAGTTACTCTCCTTGTCATCAACTCCATTACCCAGCTCTCCTTACTTTAGAATGTTTTCCCCAAAACAAATAGAAGTTCAGTTGCTAGTAGTGTGTGTCAAATGCACTCTGGGTGACAGCCCAGGGGACTAGCTTACCAGAATACCTGCAGACTTTGCAGACACTTAAATTTCCAAAGATGGAAACATACTCTTTAGATACAGTATCATTGAGAAGAGCTGGGCCACCAAGCTGCACTCTCAGACACTTGCTACAGTTTTATTACATGTTTTACATTCTTAGCTACAGGTCACAGGATATTCTTTAAACTCTGTGGCAGAGGGCCATATAAGGACCACCCACCATGAGGCGGTGAGCCACGCATGGAGTGGGCTGGTTAATGATGTCGTGAGACTTTACTAGCCACAAACCATAAGCATCCTAAACTGGAAGGGGGGCTCCTTTTAGGGAAAGATTCCTGAGTCTCGATATCCCTATCCATTTATCCCATGTATTCATCTTCCTTTCAAGGATTCCCTTTAATTATCCCTTCCATCACCATACTGGACCTGTGAGAAGCCCCTTCACTGTGGCTGGGTACATAGAAACATCTTTAGTCACCTTTTCATTCCCTAACAGTTCTGCTGAGACCACACTGAAAAGATCGTTTATAAATCAGAAACCATGGAAACACAAACAAAAATTAATATATCCTGCATCCCACTACTCATCTTACCTTGTGAGTTCACATAGCTCACTTACCAACAGTATTTGACAAAGGGGAGGGGGTGGGGGTCTCTTTCTATCTCAGAGTGACTGAATGGGAAGTCCAAGCTTCTACTTCTCACTGTACAAGATGGTTCTTGTTAGAGACAATTTTATTAAAAAAGAATTTGGCATGGTGTGTAATATGGCTAATACATGTGAAAACACAATGGGCATAGTTGCTCCATATCTTCCTTTCTGAAAAGCTGGCATCATCACACATAGGGAGTGGGGTTCTGTGAGTGACATCAACCAGGTGTGCTTGAAAAGACTGTCTCTGGCTGCTCCCTTTAGGCATAGGCCCATTTTGAAAATCTTGAGCCACAGAATAGTAACCTGCACTACACTACTGCAGTTCCCCAAGTAAAACACATAGCTTCCCAGGCCCAGCAGCAAAGGCAGTCCCTGCTGACCTCCCAGGCCAGACATTACTACACTCAATGCTTCTGGAAGCTTTCAAGGACACCAGGAAAGGCAACTCACTGTTGGGGTTACAAAAGCACTTATTTACTGTATCCTCCTGTACCTTTAGTAGTTGTGTCAAGTGCTTCTATTAGTTCTAAAAATAAATCATTTAATATATACTGATAAAACTTTTTCAAATCAAACTATGTAGTGATATCAAAGAACACATACTTCTTTGACTATCCATGTAGCTGGAGTTTTAATTTGAGTTGTAATAGGTATAAATGAGATGTATCATTGCCCACTGTCCAACAAGTGGGTGGGGTAAAATCATGAGAGTGAGCCCCACAGGTGTCTGTGACCAGTCTGTTCTGCTTTGTAGGTTCTGGGTGAGATGACTGAACTGCTGTCCTCCTGCAGAAACTATGACAACTACAGGCGAGCCTATGGGGAGTGCACCCACTTCAAAATCCCCATACTAGGAGTGCACCTCAAGGACCTCATCTCCCTATACGAAGCCATGCCCGACTATCTGGAGGATGGGAAGGTTAACGTCCAGAAGCTCCTGGCCCTTTACAATCATATCAATGAATTGGTCCAGCTGCAAGAGGTGGCCCCACCATTGGATGCCAACAAGGACTTGGTGCACCTGCTAACGGTGAGGTCCCCATGGAAGAATAATGACTCAGTACTAGCTATGTACCAGATCCATTCTACTTCCCTTCCCATATACTAGCTACTAAGCGGAGCTGCCATCTCCTCTTTAAGGACCGGTTACAGAGGCACTAAGTTCACCTTCCCAGAGAAATTGATATTATTAAGTGACAGAGGCCTCAACTTAGACTTGGGTTGGGGTAGGGGACCCAAGAGGCTTTCTTTTAAGCAACATGCCTAGCAGACTTCTAGGGGTGTGCTCCTATTCCTGCAAAAGCTGTCCTTAAGCCCTCAAGATGGAGCTGATAGCAATCAATGCAGGCCTTGGACACAAGTGGAGACGGGGTACTCCCATAAAATACAGTAAGGCAGGGGTAAAAAACCAGCCAAATGAAACAAGAAGAAAGCGGGTGACTCTTTGGGTTCTGCTAGTTTCAGCTTAGATCTCTGTGCCTGGACACATCCCAGCCAAGGGTAGGTGTGGGGAGTGGAGGTCAGGGTTTGTTGTAGGTGTGGGGTGAGATCAGCTGCACTTCCTCCCAAATTTGTGATGCTTCAATGTCAGCAGCATGAATGTAGGCCTACACTCCCCAAGTCTGCTCCCTTCCTCTGTGAACTCCAAGGGGCTGGTCTGAGCATGATTCAAACCTCCTGTCCTAAAATTACACAAGTTGAAACTTGCTTCCTTGTACATAGTGGAAGGAATGGGGGCCATGGTCGCTTCCTACCTCACAGAGCATGTTGATGGGGCCACAAGCTTCACCCACAACTTGGGTGCAGTTTTGGGGTTCTAACCTGTGGTGATATCTTGTTTGTACAAATAAAGCCTGTCTGAAGATCAGAGGGTGGAGCTTGCCACAGCTAACCATAGAGGTCTGAAGGTCTGTACAGAGAGACAGGAAATGAGACAGCTGGGGGGAGAAAGGAAAATAGGCAGTCTCTTTTCTGCTGGGAAGCTAGTGAGGTAAAGGTGGCCTTGACTTGCTCCTTCTTCTCTCTGGTCTCTTAGCATTTTCTCCTACATCAGACTCCAGGCTTTTTATTATTATTATTGTTGTTGTTGTTGTTTGGTTTTTCTAGACAGGGTTTCTCTGTATTGTTTTGGAGGCTGTCCTGGAACTCACTCTGTAGACCAGGCTGGCCTTGAACTCACAGCCATCTGCCTGCCTCTGCCTCCTGAGTGCTGGATTAAAGGCGTGCACCACAAACGCCCAGCCAGGCTTTTATTATTAAGACCTATTAGAACCCATGTTACACTAACCCTTTTTCTTTAATCAAATGACTTTGGCAAGTCTCTGACCTCAGACACCAACATCAACTCTATAAAGATGCACAGATAATAAATCAAAATTAAGGAAAATATCTTAGAACCTTGTCAGTATTATAAAACATTCTAAGAAGAACAAATTAATCTTTTCCCTACCAAAATAGCAGGCATTATGCCAGCCAAACTTTCTGGATTTTAATTGTATGTGTGTGTGTGTGTGTGTGTGTGAGAGAGAGAGAGAGAGAGAGAGAGAGAGAGAGAGAGAGAGAGAGAGAGAGAGAGAGAGAGAGAGAGAGAGAATGTGTGCATACAAAGACATGGGTATGGATGTTAGAGGACAACTTTGTGGAGTCGTTTCTTTTGTTTGTTTGTTTGTTGTTGTTTTGGTTTGGTTTGGTTTTTCGAGGCAGGGTTTCTCTGTGGCTTTGGAGGCTGTCCTGGAACTCGCTCTGTAGACCAGGCTGGCCTTGAACTCATAGAGATCCACCTGCCTCTGCCTCCCAAGTGCTGGGATCAAAGGCATGTGACACCAACACCTGGCTTTTTTTTTAACCAGCTTTTTGTGGATTCCAGGAATTGAGCTCAGATCTCCAGGTTTCCACAGCAGGGAATTTTAACTGCTAAGACATCTTACTGTCCCCACTTAGTGTTTTAAAAACAAACTGCTGGGTTTGGAGAGATGGCTTAGTGGTTAAGGACACTTGCTGCTCTTACAGAGGACCAGGGTTCAGTTCCCTGCATCCACACGATGACGTGAAACCATCAGTAACTGTAGCTCTAGGGAATCTAATGCCTTCTTCTGACCTCTGCAGGCATAAAGCACGCCATGCTACAAGCATGCTACTCACATGCAGACAGAGCACTCAAAATGAGTAAATCTAAAAACAAACAAAATCCCTGCTAAGCACCAAGAAGATGAACCACTGGAAAAAAAGTAACCAAGAAAAAACCAAGAAAGGTAGAGTATCCCAGCAATTAACTGTGTTCTGCTTCAATCCCTGCAGTTATCCCTGGATCTATACTACACAGAAGATGAAATCTATGAGCTTTCCTATGCCCGAGAACCAAGGAACCACAGAGCCCCGGTGAGTTTCTCATCCTGATGCTTGGGCATGACAGAGCTTTAAAAGCTCCTCAGATTCCTCCTCAAGAAGCTGGCCTTCAGTTGCTTACTAAGTGGATGGTTTGTGCTGTGTGCTCAGCTTTGTGCAAAGCACATAGAAAACTTTTCAACATACGTGTGACACATAGTTCTTATCCATAAACAGCTTGTTGCTAGGACTAAGGGACCACTGTGTGAACAGGAAATGACTGTATGCCCAATGGGGTGGGGCAGAGCCTGTCAGGGGCTTTCAAGTAAGAGGAGGCAGTATCATGAGGCACAGTGCTCTCCCTCCTGTCAAAGTGCCCCCACGTTTCTTTTCCAAGACTGTTGCTGGTGACAACAATACGCATACAAAAAAGCAAAATTTGTGAAACTTTCTGCCGTGGTAGAAAGAAAAAGCTTCATTGGCCTGTGACGTTCTGCGTCAGGAATGTGCTGGACCTTCTGACTGCCTGTGCCCAATAGGGCTCCAAACAGCACCACAGCCTGGCTTTGCACACAGTAGGACCACTATAGATTATCTGAGCCTGCCTCTATTATGGCAAGTAAGCTGAAGAATTATTTCCATCTCCTAGAAAGCTCCCCAACTCCCAAACAAGAAGGACTTCATGGAAGAGAGTGGCCTACACACACAAAATCATCTCTTGTTTCGGGTTGCTAAGTCACATTGCTGCTATAGAATGGTTGGGAGGGTCCACATCCAGGGCATTAGAGGCATTTCAGAAAAGGGGTCAGCAACTTCTGATTTCAGGGGAACTTTAGTTGCAGCCAAGTTTCAAATTATCAGCAGTAGATCCTCTCTCAGCATGTGCAGACTGCATTTTTCCCCTGTGCACCTCGCTGTCTTGATTAGTTTTCCTCATCCATCTCTACTGAAAATGTGACTGGAGCGCAGAGGCAATTGACATGATTCGTGTTCAAGTTAGCCTTTGTTCATAGGTCTGACAAGAGATTTAATGGAGAGGGACCTGGCGGTCAGGCCCACGGTGAAGTAAAGTTGTCTGCGGCTGAGGCCCTGAAAGAGCACTGTGGAATCTGTTATCCAAGCTAACTCAGACAGATTCTGACTATGTGCCTTCCGTCTCCTGCCATGGCACACAGTCCAGTATCAGGAGAGGAGGGAGCCCTGCTACCCTGCATTAGTCACAAGAATTTCCCTATTCCATTTTAGCCACTAACACCTTCGAAGCCACCTGTTGTGGTTGACTGGGCCTCTGGAGTATCTCCCAAACCTGACCCTAAGACCATCAGCAAACATGTCCAGAGGATGGTGGATGTAAGTACCCGTTTCGGCAGACAAAAATCATGGTGCAGCCTGCTTTAGTTTCAGGATGTGGGGAGAATGGGCCAGGATGGCTAGGAGCACAAAGCTGCTTCACTCCACACACTGTGGCCATAGAATGTTTCGGAGGAAATAATGTCAACACACTGGTCTCCAGTGGGGTGGGTTTACCTTACTTAAAGGCCCTTTCAGGGGAACATATGTTTAAAGGTATTGGTTAATATGAGGTAAATGTCAGCATATGACATTGCTAACAAGGAGAATGGGAACCTTGACACTGCTTGGTCTGGCTAACTGCTGAGGAAGGGGATGGATTTGCATGCTGTCTTTATGCTCCATTCACACATGCAGAACAAGGAGGAGCACAGAACTCAAGGAAGACAGCACTCCCAGTTGGGTTGGGCTGTGAGCTTCCCAGACAAGGGAACGGAGTCCTGAAGGGAGGGCAGAGTGGAGAGAATGCCCATCCTCTATCCAGTGCAGTAGCTGTGTGCAGTAGCCAGTGTGTGGCACAATTGATGTTTACAGGTTGGACGCACCGGGGCACCCTGCAGTGGCTGGGACAGCAGAGGGCTGGGATGTGCCCTGCTGTGCCAGGGCCACAGTTTAGGGAGTATGTCTCAGGGCTGCTCTTACTTAGGCCCTTGCCAAGCTTTTATGTATCTGTCCCCTTGTCATTTAGCTAAAGGAACAGATAGATGGTTTCCTTCAGTAAGTGGAGGAAGAAACTCTTTTTTTTTTTTAGTCTGTCTTCAAGAACTACGATCTCGACCAGGATGGGTACATCTCTCAAGAGGAGTTTGAAAAGATTGCTGCAAGTTTTCCATTCTCCTTCTGTGTGATGGACAAAGACAGGTGAGGACTGTGTGGGACTGTGTAAGCGGCCACTGAAGAACTTGCAAACACATGTGCTCCCATGCTTCCGTGACACGTGTTGGAAGAAGGAGCCACCCTCAAGTGAAGGCCTCACTCCTTTAGTGCGGACTGCAGCAGACCATGACATCCATGGGCTTTCTGAAGAGTTCACACTCAAAGACTCCCAATGCCACCAGCTCAGGAGAAAACACTCGGCCTTCCTTCCTGCTTTGGTGTTACAAATCGTGGAAACAACTCATAGTTCTATCAACATTTCCTACATTTTTCTTATGGCGCTAAAAGCTTTCTCGTCGTTTTCTACAGAAAACCAAACGCATGGCCAGTAGGTTCCCCAGGTGTCCTTCCTGCCTCAAGTCAGACACTGTATCATGAGGTCTTTGCTTTCCAACACACATTTCACACCTCTTCCCTTTCAAGTCTGGGACACACTGATCCATTTAGCCATTTACCAGGTGTGACGAGCAGTCACATTGCCTCACGTTGTCACTCTGTGCTGTCCCATGTTCTTACTTTGAGAAGAACTCCGGGAAGCAGCACAGGAAGGACAAAGGAAAGGTTGGTTTCAAAGGCTAGAAACCACCCTGGCCCTACTCACCTCCTTGCCTGTCATTTGCTGCAGGGAAGGCCTCATCAGCAGGGACGAGATCACGGCCTACTTCATGAGGGCCAGCTCCATCTACTCCAAGCTCGGCCTGGGCTTTCCTCACAACTTTCAAGAGACCACCTACCTGAAGCCCACTTTCTGTGACAACTGTGCTGGCTTTGTAAGTTACTCTTAGAGTGTCAGAGTTGAACTTGGAGCTTACGTGTTGGGGTGTGTGTACAGGACAGTTTAAATGAATAAGACAGGCACGGCCTCAAAGACCTTACATACTTACTCCAGCTCAGAACCCAAAGGAACACCCAGAAAACATAGTGCTCTATTGTGTGGGTTTAGCCTGTATCCAATTTCTTCCTGCTTTTTTTTTTCTTTCCTGGTTCATTATTCTGGGATAAATGGTACAGAAATGTGGGATTTGGATATACCTTTTAAAAAATGTTACATCCTACTTCCAATGTTAGAAAATAAGAAATAGGAGATGCCCTTCATCCCTTTTCAAAAGAAATTAAGTTACCTGTGTTCCAAGGGGTCGCTTCATACCCCACAGGGCAGCCCTGGTTACATTCAGTGTGTCATAGAACAAAAACTAAGACAATGTGGCAGTGGGAGGGAGACTTATTAGGAGGCGTGGGGGTTGGTAGGAATGGGAAAATGAAAAAGGAGGATGAGTGTGACTATAATATATTATATACATGAGGGAAATTGTCCAAAATTTAAATTGATTTTTAAAAAATTTTATCTCAGAGATTACCTGAGTGCTGTTTGTTCTCTGTCCCAACCCAACTAATGGTTTCCTCCAAACCCAAGTTTCTGACCCAGGACTGTATTCAGTCCTCAAGAGCTTGGTTTTCAGGGTTCGTCCACATCAGGCCTGCAGAGTGCTGGATCATACAGAGCTTTTGCATAAATAGCAGTTGTCTCTGACCAGTGGTTTCTTGTTAGAGGACTAGGACATGAGAGAGCTACCAAGGATTTCCCATTGATAGATTGTGGAATAAAAATAGAGAATGAATGCTACCAGGGTCTACCCATTGATAGACAGTAAAGATAGAGAATGAATGCTACCAGGATCTACCCATTGATAGACAGTAGGGTGAAGATAGAGAATGAATGCTACCAAGGTCTACCCATTGGTAGACAGTAGAGTGAAGACAGAGAATGAATGCTACCAAGGTCTACCCATTGACAGACAGTAGGGTGAAGATAGAGAATGAATGATACCAAGGTTTACCCATTGACAAACAGTATAGTGAAGACAGAGAATGAATGCTACCAGGGTCTACCCATTGGTAGACAGTAGAACAAAGGTAGAAAATGAATACTACCAGGGTCTACCCATTGACAGACAGTAGAACAAAGGTAGAAAATGAATGCTACCAGGGTCTACCCATTGATAGACAATAGGGTGAAGATAGAGAATGAATACTACCAGGGTCTACCCATTGACAGACAGTAGAACAAAGATAGAGTATGAATGCCAAGGCGCAGCCTCACACCAGACAGATGAATGACTTGTGTCATATTGTCTTCTTTGCCTCGTAGCTCTGGGGAGTGATTAAGCAAGGCTATCGCTGTAAAGGTAAGTCTCAGCTTTGGGGAGTGAGGTCTCTTCCCTTATCTGAAGAGCTCCTTGGTAATATTTCTTGTGCATAGTAGTTGTCCATTCAGTCCAAACTTTTTTGGTTGAGTTCAGAGCCTTGTGTCCAAACTGGTTTCCAAAGAGCACCCTAAGAGGGATTGTTGCCAGCCAAGAGAGGGATGCCTGTAAGGCCAGTCAGGTAGTTTCCCTCTACTAGACCCTCTCTTTGCCTCAGTTGTGGATGGCTGCGCTCCTTGTAGAAGCATGGAAGGGCAGATTCTCAAGGAAAGGGAATCACCCTGGGGAAGGTTACCACAGGACCAGTCAGTTTTTTTCTTTTTGAAGCAGATACCTCAGGACCTAATTTTCCAGGTTGGCATCTCTTCTCTCCATGATGAGAAGATGCTGCTTAGTTCTGAGATTCATTGATGCAGTGATGACAAGCTCTGGGACTTACCAGGGGGTTAAGAATCAGGAGGCGCTCTTTCCTAGATCCCTTAGGAACATCAGGTATCCAGAGGCTAGACCAGCCAAGTTTGACAAGAGAGCAGTGCATGAGTTTGGTTGTGAGAGAGATGCTAGAGAAGTGAGTGAAGACTTCTGAGCAGGGTGTCTTGTCCTCAGACTGCGGGATGAACTGCCATAAACAGTGCAAAGATCTGGTGGTGTTTGAGTGCAAGAAGCGAATCAAGAGCCCAGCAGTGTCCACAGAGAACATCAGCTCTGTGGTGCCAATGTCCAACCTTTGCCCACTGGGAACCAAAGATCTGCTCCATGGTAAGCAGGTACTGGGGACGTTTGTCATGGGTATGTACAGGAAAGGGTTAATTTGGCAGGTAAGAAAGATCGCCCTATGATTCTTATTCCCAGTTAGCCTTGACCTCAATTTGCTATGCCATGGCTGACTTGTCATGGATTTTTAACTCTCTGGGTGCTGTAACAGAGTGGAAGTTAGACCCCCCCCCAAAGAAAGTCATCAAGCTACTAGATCCAAGAGTAGATATGGACCTCTTGCCATGATAGGATCTCATGTTAAGTTTCTTCCTCTATCCTTAAACACAAACCAAGAATGGGGAGGGGAAGAGGTAGAGAGAGTGAATGTATAACATACATAACACATGCAATATGAATGTAACGTATTAAACATGTTATGTAAAATGGACAGCTGTGTTCAGAAGCAAAGACTAACATCACCATAGCTCAGATATGTCCTACGAACATACTATTAGCAGAAGCTGAAACAATGTTAGTAGAGGCTGAAACCATAGGTCTGCTTGACTCTGTTTCCAGAAGGAGATAGACATGGCTGAGAATTTGATTTCTGTGTTTAACAGAGACCACTATGCATGAAAGGTGACCAGAGCAGACTCATTGCTAACAACCCAGAAAAACAATGTGACTGGCACTTAAGCCTGGCAGCAGAAAGGAAGTAGGTTCCTCTTCTAGCTCAATGACTATGTACATTATCCCTGGTTTTCTTCCAAAAGAGGAGCCTTGACCATTAAATTAACACTCTGCCCTAGACTAAGAACCTTGAGAGATCAGGTGAAGAAAAATGACTAAAATTCTAAAATCCGAAAAGTAAATACAGGGAAAAAAGGAGAAACTCTGGGAATCTGCTTGGAGATTCACCAAGTTAATCAGATCATTCAAGGACAAACCGGGGTTGAGCCAGAATCGCCACAGCTAACTCTGCACATGGCAAATGCAAGTAAAGAGTGATCAGGAAACAATATGAAGCAAGCAGAACAGAGACTCCCAGGTCTGGAGGGCAAAGAAGCAGAGAGAGTGTCTCTAACTGGAAGAAATGACAGAATACCAACATAGAGCAAATCGGGAGCCAGTGAAGGTCAAGTAGGCTGCGGTAACACAGATGACATGTGTGTAGATTAGAGGGGTCACTGCGCTGGGCTGCTGGGAAAGCCTTCTTGGAGAAGGTGGAATTTCAGCTGAGTTTCGAAGGAAAGGCGGTGCACATCACGATGGAGATGAGGACTATTCCAGAGATGACAGGCAGAGCAAAGGGCCAACGGGCAGAAAAGCTGCAGGAGGTGCTGCTGGGCTGAGTGAGGTGTTGTGGCAGCAGGGGAGTAGAAAAACAAGGAGAAGTCAGGCAGGTATGTTGTGAATGACAGGTGGAAGCGTGTGCGCTGTTCACGCTCTGAAACAAAGCGCTCCCGCAGCAGAGGGTAGAATCCTCAAGATTCACTCTCCACATTTCTGTACATCTAGAATTCCATCTCAACAACAGAGGGAGCATAATTTGGGAAGTTTGATTGGTTTAAAGTGTAACTGTGTTAAAGGCAGGAAAGGGAGAAGGGAGTTCAAGATGGCCGAACAGAGGTACCTAACTCTCACCTGCTTCTCAAATGGCGAAATAGCTCCGGAAGTTAAGGTGCTTGCTATGCAAGCCTGGTGGCTCCAGTCCAACCCTGAGACCCACATAAAGATGGGAGGAGAGGAGGGTGGAGAGGTAGATGGTTCAGTGGTTGGGAGCATTGGCTTCTCTTCCAGAGGACCCATATTCACCTCCCAGCACCCACATGGCAACTCACAACCGTCTAACTCCAGTGCCAGGGGAACTGACATCCTCACATAGACACATATGCAGGCAAAACACATATGAACATTTTAAAAAATCATTTTAAAAAATGGAAGGAGAGAACTGAATCCAGAGTTGTCCTATGACCTCCACATATAGGCCATGGTGAACACACACACACACACACACACACACACACACACACACACACACACACACACTAAATAAAGTTTACAACTGTTTAATGGGTATATAAACACATTTTTAGATTGAATGGGAAAACAGCAGCAGAATAGGGGAAACATAAGACTTGGAGACACCGGGGTGGGTGTGGCACAAGAAAGAGGCACCTTGACACCTAATGCCCCAGCTCCAGCCACAGGAAAGGGAGTCTCTGTACAGCATTAAATCAGGAATGTCCTGGCAAACTTGCAAGTGGGGCACTGGTGAGCCTGGCTGTTGGGGAATCGCACAACCCTGTAGGATTTTACCAGACTAGACAACAAACCTGGAATCTTTCCAGTAGCCAGCTTTGGGAAAGAATCCACACCATCTTGTGAAGCTCAGGGATGCTGTACTCAGAAGGCCTCTCGAGAAAGGACATGTTACCTGACCTTGGACAGCTCTGTGGGTCAGAACACCTGATCATTCCCATCTCTGGGATTTGAAAGACATTCCACTGAGCTGGTCAGCAGGAAGTGGCCTTGGTTCTGTGGAGTGACTCAGTATGTTTGAGTCACATTTGCTGAAGGTCCTGCATTGTATGGGATGGATGTTGTCACATGAATAAGGAAGGGTAAAGGATATGGAGACTGGCTGGAAAGTAAAGGAGAATGCCCTAGGCCTTCTTCTAGCCTATAGGACTAAAACAGATAGGCACATACATGCCTCTGCACACAGACACAAAGCAATCCCTTTTTAAATTCAGTAATAAGAAAGATGTATGATTTTAATACAAATGTATCCCCAAAAGATACAAAAACCTTTCTTATACATAAAATCACTTTATTCCCTAAGTTCTGGAAAGTAAGATATTTTTCATATCCATTTAATGAAATAAACAGAATCCAAAATGTGTTTATCAATAAATGATGTATTATTGCTTGGAACCCTGATTACTTTGCATAGAGCTCAAATTAGTGCTAAATCTTTGCAAAAGGTAAACTTGGATGGCCTCCAGTTTATCTTCCCACTCATCTCAAATGCATCCACTAATCTCTACTTTCTCAGGAAATGACTCCTTCCAGTTAATATTTCCAGACTTCGTCTCAGGCAGGGATACTGACTAAAAGAAAACCAGATGGCTGGTTTGTCCTTACCCCTCCAGAATCAAATAAGGGTGATACATTTTAGAATACACATCCACAAAGCTAATCCTGCCACCCCACCATTAATCTGTACCAATCACACAAGGGAGTCCCACAGAGTCCCTGCTGTCTATCTGCTTGAGTAGCACTCCGGTACCTGGCTCAAACTCCGAGTTACAGCTCGAATCCAGAGAAAGCACATACAGGATTTATCTGTATGCTTATCCTGATGTCTTTAGACGTGCTAGGAAACCTTGCTATGTCAAGGCAGGGATTCTAACTTACTGACAGGAACAGCAACTATCTGGGTAACTTTTGTGCAAAAAGAAAAAGATGCTTTGGGGTCTAGAAGGATGACTCAGAGATTAAGAGCACATTTTGCTCTTGCAGAAACCTGGATTCAGTTCCCAGCACCTACATGGTATCTCAAAACCGCCTGTACCTCCACTTCTAGGGGATTCCAAACCCTTTTCTGACCTCCAAGGGCACTCCATGCATGTAATCTACATGCTTACACACAAACATACATAATACAGGCAGAACATCATATACGTTTTTTAATCTTTTTTTAAAAAGTGAAAAAGAAAAGATGTTCTTTCCTTGGTGTGGATGAATCCTGACACAAAATCCCTAGGCTTCTGCGTCTACTCGAGCCTGACATTGCATGTCGGAAAACAAGCCACGTAGAAGCAGAACTCCTGACATAGGAAAAGTTCTCACCTGAAACCAATGTTGAGAGTCTTGAGTTCATCGCCGTCTGAGAGCGCTAACAAATGTATCTCTCTCCACAGCACCCGAGGAAGGATCTTTTATATTTCAAAATGGGGAGGCTGTGGACCACAGCGAGGAGAGCAAGGATCGGACCATCATGCTCCTGGGCGTGTCCTCACAGAAGATTTCGGTTCGGCTGAAGAGGACTGTTGCCCACAAGACCACCCAGACAGAGTCGTTCCCTTGGGTGGGCGGCGAGGTGCCTGCTGGTCACTTCGTGCTGTCATCCCCAAGGAAGCCGCCACAGGATGCTCTTTTTGTGCTTCCCAGCCCCACGTCACCATGCCCCAGCCCAGTGCTGCTCCGAAAGCGGGCATTCGTCAAGTGGGAGAACAAAGAATCGCTGATAAAACCAAAACAGGAGCTTCACCTCCGGCTCCGGACCTACCAGGAACTGGAACAGGTGTCCCCTTCGCACTGCCCCTCCCGTTTTTATCTCTCCTGCTGAAGTAGAATGCAATAAGGAAAAGCATAAGGGTGAAGATTCAACCTGATTACCAGCAGGTTAAGTAAGCAGGCAAGACAAGGGGAAAAAGTTGCCAGATGTAGGTAATCTAAGCCATTTTAGTGTCAAGGAAGAAAGAGGCATTAGCTTTAACGGTGTTTAATTTTACTGTTTTCCTGCCCTTTTCCCTCACACATCAAGATTTGTATCATGTTAGGAGGCCTGTCAGTACATAACCCCACCATGACCTAGCTCAATGTGCTTATTGGCATAGTATACAGGGAAGCTGCCACCGGCAAGGCTCCAGGATGCTCAACATTGTTACCAATGAGGTTCCTTCCCTGCCAGGCCCCCAGGAGAATCAGAGAGCTATGTGTTAGACAATGTCTATGACTTGGTGACTGGAATGAAGAACAGGGTATCAGGAGGACAAAAAAGCAACAGATTTGCTGGAAGAAAACATGTCTTTTACTAAAAGTACCTTTAAAATGCATGCTAGCAAACAAGGTTAATCAGAAGGAAGCCACCCTTGGGTTACCTTAGGAAGAGAAACTGCCAAATGTTGCCTCTTAGAAGAATAAAAAAAAATCTTGAAAATGGAACATGATATAAGTATGGGACTTTGGTCTGAGACACTAAGACATTTTGTTGTTGATGTTTTTATTTGTTGCTGTTTGGTTTGGTTTTGGTTTTTCAAGACAGGGTTTCTCTATATAGCCCCCTGGTTGTCCTGAAACTCACTTTGTAGACTAGGCTGTCCTCAAACTCAAAGATTTGCCTGATTTTTGCCTCCTAAATGTGGAGACCTAATCCCAGACATTTTTATGCCAGTTGTTAAACACTGAAAACTGGTTGATCCCCTGTGAAGTTCAGGGCTATGAGTCCATGCTGAGGTTTCAAATCTGACATGCCTATTAATGGTTGCAATATAGTTGTGAAAAATGCTATGAGAAACAGGTGACAAAATAATCCCCACCCAGTCATCAGGGCCATAAGCCCTGATGTTTAATTAGCTGCTTCTCTTTTCTTTTACCTGAATCAGAGACCCGAGGGCCAGAATTCTCCATGAGCATTTTAGAGGGATAATGTACCCTACTTTTCCATTAGGGACATGCAATGACTGGCCTTTAGTCCAACAGTCCTCACCACAAGGAAGGAGTCCAATTAAACCAGTATTTAAAATAGCATGCAACAAGGACAGCTGATTACAGCTGTGGATTTTAGTACATATTAAAATAATGTGTGTTATTTTAGCTCATGCCCTAACTGAATCAGCATGGAACCAAATAAAAAAGGAAAATAAGACTTTAGGGTCAGATGTGCCTGGGCTCTAGAACTATGTGTGAGCATTTTCTGCTCCTATAAAGCCAACACTGATTTCCAAGGTATGCTTGAGGATTAAGATATCCTAGTCTTCGACAGTGTTCTATTATCACACAGTGCATTGGGTTTATTGCAGCACTTAATCCCGTATACTGGTAGAGAGCACTCTGGGTGATTCAGTCTGAGAACCCAAAGGGAGCCCAGTTAACCAGACATTGCACCTATATTTTCTGATGCCCATGTAAGTCAGTCTGACATGAGGACACCTTTCCTCGAAACCAGAAGCCTGGAGATGAACCAATGGCTGTACAGCTAAATTACTCCCAATAGAACACGGAATCCCAGCTTGAGGGTGAGACAAAAGTCTTCCTCCAAAAAAGGCACATTAATTATCTGTAGTGGGGGTGGTGAACCAGGTTAAATGAACTATAACATCTCATTTCGCAGAGTTTTGAAGCACTGCTTTCATAGTTCAGACAGACCAGACCACAGACCACTTTCTGCCAAGTAACAATGCCTGCTACACACTATCCAAAGGTCGTGTCTTCCTCCACCCACTTCCCATGAGTGGATCATTCTGTCTGCTAGCCACTCACATCTGTGATATGATAGCAAAGAGTAATTGCTATTTGCACATGTCCATGATAGTTAATGTATTATTTTATGCTCACAACTAAATAACTACTTTGAAAATAGTTTGTAATTCGTAACCACAGTAAATAGGAGATGTCAATCAAATCTAATACTCTTGATACTATAAGTGATTTCCCATTCACTGCCTCTCTATTAACATGCCTTATTCTCATTTCCCTTTAGGAAATAAATACCTTGAAAGCAGATAATGATGCCCTGAAGATCCAACTGAAGTATGCACAGAAGAAAATAGAGTCCCTTCAGCTTTCGAAAAACAATCATGTCTTAGCACAGATGGATCGGGGAGATTGTTCTTAATCCAGAAATCCTAGGAACAGAATCTGTGGAGGAGTATACTGGGATCTCACTTCAAAAACTGACTGCAGAAGTTCGGGCAACTTCGGATTAACAGTCTTGAAAAGGGGAAAGTCAGTCACTAGCATCAGTGTCATTGTTTTTTGTTTTGTTTTTACCTAGAATATTCTTAATGTGAGTCATTGGTTTTCAGTCAGTTGACTCAATGGGAAGAAAAGCTCAAGTATGTAAAGCTTTGAGCATTCGTATTAACGGCCTTTTCTTTCTTTTACTGGAACCAATACCAAACGAGTGCTAAAATAAGACCATAGTTTCCTGATAGCATCTCGGGCAGCCTGCTTTACTGAGTCGTCGATAAAAAGTCCCTGGAGAATCCATTTGCTGCCTTCCCCAGGGCTTCTGCAAACTGAGATATTTACTTAGTTCGACCCAAAGCCTGTTCATAATAGAAACAATACCCTAAAAGTGGTGACTTTGATATGCCTGCATTGTGTGTGAAACTGATCCCCACTTCACTACCTCAGGTCCGATCAAGAGCCTCATTCCCAGCTCATCCTCACTTGCTTCCCCTCCTTCCTCCCTTGCTTGTAGGCACATCAGCATATCTATCTAGAAGTGAACTCGTAGAGATGTAGCCTGGTTATAAATCCAGAGCTTTTTAATTGAACTTGACATTATCCAAATGCAGGTCAACTCATAGCTCTAGGTCTTCGTCATCATGAAATACAAACTAAATCTCAGTAACCACAAACAGCAATTACCATGTCATACACAGCTACTTAGCTAAGACAACATAAACATGTTTGTCCAGATAGTCTCTAGTGGGTACAATTAAGAATCTGTGACTTTCGAGAAGAAATGATCTGTGGACAGTGTTTAATTCTTCATGTTCGAGTTTCTCTCTCACTCTTTTTAAATCTTAAGGTTTTCTTTTGAACTGAATTTGTGCTTAAACTGTCTTAACTTTTACTATCTAGAAGTAAACTAACAGAAATGATGGCTTAAACAGCTGAAAGCATGTACATATGTACAGAATATGTATATACAGTAGCAGGCATGCATGTAGCTTGGACTTTCTCCTTTAGAGAATGCAGACGTGAATCAAACACCTTTTAGTCATTTACACAACTTCACAAATATAGTCCTGTTTGTTATAAGACAAACTCCTCACAATGTAAATTATATTGTCTTGCAAACCCATGAGTAACAGTCTCTGATTATTCTATCATGAAGGTTAAAAAAACAGTGGGTTTGACTTGTTGCCTGGGAAGCTATTCACAAACTCTCTTATCAGCTTCCTTTTAGCTTTCAAAAACATTTCATCTGATTGTGTCCTTTTGAGGGAGACTTTGCTTCCAGGCTTGGAAGGTCTGGCACCATGCTAACTTGTGATCCATACACAGGGTGAACAACTTCTGAGAGTACCATCTCGCAAAATGAGTTCCAAAACTACAGCCAGCAGCACTCAGTCTCCAGAGGATTGCCAACTGTATGTAGTGCTGCCCCTAAAGTACTCAGATCACTAAAGTTTATTTGATGAAAGACTATTGCCCATTTGTGTCCCTCTTGGTGGAGTTTTAGTGACAAAGAACTGGCTGGTGATTAAAGTTTCACTGGACTTTAACCAACCACTTTATACACAATCTTATCCTAGTTCTACATCCAAACTCAGAAATTCTCAAAGCATATAGCTACCCCCTGGTACATACACCTCTAGCAGGTGTAATACGGTGTGGAACAATTATATGGAACCATTATAAGTAAAGGCAAACCTCAAATTTTTATTATTCACTATGGATAATTTCCTCTGCTATGCACCAGTACAAGTGTATAGCCTAATCTTTAAGTACTGTCTTTTTCTTCTTACTCATCCCCAGTAAAGATCAACCAATGAGTTTTTATGTAAATAGCATGTAACATAGGAATCCAGAGGGCTCCGGTCATTTGTCATGGCTAGGTGATCTCATGCACTGTAGAACCCATAGAGAAGACTGCAAGAGGCAGTAATCACATCAGATTCTTAAGGTCCTGATAGGACAAAAGATGTCTGGAGTCTGCAATGGATCTGTTCCAGCAGAGCTGGAGGAGCAGGTGGGACCTACTGATACTGCTTGAAGTGTTCAGTAGATCTGTCTTCACCAAAACAAAGACAGATCCTATCAACGATAGCGATGTGGCTTCTCTGTTGACTGACTCACCCCCTTACTGACCACGTGTGAAATTCTGTCTAAAGATGTATAATGTAAAAGCTGTGGAAAAAAATGTACAGACTGTAAACTTTTTGATACCTATTGTAAGTTTTCTGTGTCTACTATTTATATGATAAAAGACATTTGGATCCCTACAACTTCAAGGTCTTGTGTTTCTTTTCTTTTTTCTTTCTTTCTTTCTTTCTTTTTTTTTTTTTTTTTTTGAGCCTATCCTGAAACTCACTCTGTAGACCAGGCTGTCCTTGAACTCACAGAAATCTGCCTGCCTCTACCTCCTGAATGCTGTGATTAAAGGCATACACCACCACCGACCAGCTGGTCTTGTGTTTCTTAACTTCATGCATTTCATTTGAATTTTTACTGTAATTCAAAGTAAAACTACTCCATTCTATTAAGTTTGCTTGGGAGTGGGAAGAAAAAAAGAACAATTCATAGTATTTCATATGGAATAATGAAATCACTCTAACACGCTGACCCTGCAGGAAAGATGAAAATCCTTATCCACCCTCATTCCCAATCCGCAACTCTGTCTTCCTCACATGGTAGAGACAAACATTGCTCAGGACATTTTCTGGCTATAAGTTTGTTTGTTTTTTGTGTTAGGCTCACTGTTTGCCACAAGTGCTGGTAAATGTTTTTGAATTAGATGTTATGTATTTTCTATTTAATAAGATCTAGATCTACAGAGTACAAGGAAACAGCTAAACAGTTTTGACATCAGTCCATGTGGTCCAACAGCAATGATGTTCTCAGCCCAGAGGAAAGTTCAGTTATTTAATTCAAAAAATTTCAGTAAGACCATGTCCACAGGTGCTCATAGGTGCCACAAGCTGAACAAAGACATGGGGAAATGGGGGAACAGAAAGTATAAAAATAGAAAAAAAAAAACACCCCTTCATGATAAAGGTCTTGGAGAGATCTGGGAAAACAGGGACATACTTAAACATAATAAAAGCTATATACACTAAACCAACAGCCAACATCAAACTAAATGGACAGAAACCCAACGCAATTCCTCTAAAATCAGGAACAAAACAAGGCTGTCCACTCTCTCCATACCTTTTCAACATGGTACTTTAAGTTCTAGCTATTGCCATACGACAACAAAGGGGGATCAAGGGGATACAAATTGGGAAGGAAGAGGTCAAACTTTCACTGTTTGCAGACGATATGATAGTTTACATCAAGGACCCAAAGAACTCTACCAGGGAACTCTTACAGCTGATTAACACCTTCAGCAAAGTGGCAGGCTACAAGATCAACTCAAGAAAATCAGTAGCCCTACTATATACAGATGATAAAAGGGCTGAAAGAGAAATCAGAGAAACATCACCCTTTACAATTGCCACAAACAACATAAAATACCTTGGGGTAACGCTAACCAAACAAGTGAAAGACCTGTATCGTAAGAACTTTGAATCTTTAAAGAAAGACATTAAAGAAGCCCTCAGAAAATGGAAAGATCTCCCATGCTCTTGGATAGGTAGGATCAATGTAGTAAAAATGGCAATCCTGCCAAAAGCAATCTACGGAATCAATGCAATCCCCATTAAAATCCCAGCACAATTCTTCACAGACCTTGAAAGAACAATAATCAATTTTGTATGGAAAAACAAAAGACCCAGGATAGCCAAAACAACCCTGTTCAACAAGGCAACGTCCGGAGGCATCACCATCCCTGACCTCAAGCTCTATTACAGAGCTATAGTCCTGAAAACAGCTTGGTATTGGCACAAAAATAGACAGGTAGACCAATGGAATCGAATTGAAAACCCGGGTATTAACCCACACACGTATGAACATCTGATCTTTGACAAAGAAGCAAAAAATATACAATGGAATAAAGAAAGCATCTTCAACAAATGGTGCTGGCATAATTGGAGACTGGCATGTAGAAGAATGCGGATCGATCCATGTTTATCGCCATGCACAAAACTTAAGTCCAAATGGATCAAAGACCTCAACATAAATCCAGCCACACTGAACCTCTTCGAAGAGAAAGTGGGTGGTACCCTTGAACGAATTGGTACAGGAGACAGCTTCCTGAACATAACACCAGTAGCACAGACAGTGAGATCAACAATTAATAAATGGGACCTACTGAAACTGAGAAGCTTCTGTAAGGCAAAGGACACAGTCAGCAAGACAAAAAGGCAACTCACAGAATGGGAAAAATATTTACTAATCCCACATCTGACAGAGGGTTGATCTCCAAAATTTACAAAGAACTCAAGAAGCAAGTCTCCAAAACACCAAAGGACCCTATTAAAAAGTGGGCTGCAGAACTAAATAGAGAGTTTTCAATAGAGGAGTCTAAAATGGCTGAGAGGCACTTGAGAAAGTGCTCAACATCCTTAGCCATCCGGGAAATGCAAATCAAAACAACTCTGAGATACCATCTCACTCCTGTCAGAATGGCTAAAATCAAAAACACCAATGACAATTTATGCTGGAGAGGATGTGGTGAAAGGGGAACACTCCTCCATTGCTGGTGGGAGTGCCAACTGGTTCAGCCACTTTGGAAATCAGTATGGAGATTCCTCAGAAAAATGGGAATAAACCTACCACAAGACCCAGCAACTCCACTCTTAGGCATATATCCAAAAAATGCCCATTCATACAACAAAGATGTCTGTTCCACTATGTTCATAGCAGCTTTATTTGTAATAGCCAGAACCTGGAAGCAACCTAGATGTCCCTCACCCGAAGAGTGGATAGAGAAAATGTGGTACATCTACACAATGGAGTACTATTCAGCAGAAAAAAATAATGGAATCATGAGATTCGCAGGCAAATGGATGACACTAGAAGAAACCATCCTGAGTGAGGTAACCCAGTCACAAAAAGAGAAACATGGCATGTACTCTCTCATATATGGATTTTAGACATAGATCTGGGGAGTGCCAGCCTACAATCCTATGGCCAGAGAATCTGGGAAACAGAAACTTCATTTAGTGGCTGATCAAAGAAGAGGCAGACTCCCTTGGTTAAGTACTGAGCTGAACTCAAGAAAGCCAGTAACAGAGAGGGAGGACTGATGATCAAAGGGATCAAGACTGGGCTGGTTTAACCCCCAGAAACAGCTGACCAGACAAAGGTTAACTCTTGAATCCCAGGCATCAGCCTGGGAATCCAGCATGGGACTGATCAAGACCCCCTGAATTTGGGTGTCAGTGAGGAGGCCTAGGGAATCTATTGAGCCTTGGGCAGCAGATCAGTACCCATCCCAAGTATACACACGGACTTTGGACTCCCATAGAACAATGTGAGGTGCACTCTCACCCTGAACTCTTGGGGAAGGGTCTAGGCCCTACCCTATATGAAATGACAGACTATGGACACCCCCATGGAGGGCCTTACCCTCCCTGAGGGAATGAGGGGATAACGGGGGGGGGGGGGGGGAGGGGGTTGGGGGGAGGGCACGGGAGGAGGGGAGGGAATGGGAGAGGGACCTGGAACTGACTTGTGAAGCAACCTCATTTCTTATCTAAATTTAAACTGGAAAATAAAAAAAATAAAAAGAACTGAAATCTGACCAATTTCCACCCTGGAAAAACTCCGCCCCTAAGAAGACACATATAAACCCAGTGTCTGTTCAGTTTGCTGCTGTCCTTTTCCACCCTGGCAGAGGCAAACATTCTCCTGGATTCTTTCCTCCCAATAAATCTCTTGAATGAGGTTTGGGTGAGACTTTCCTTCTGAGAATGGAGGGAGAGCAGAACAGGACTGTAACACTTTAACCTAGGAAACTTCCCTTAGCAAAGTGAAAACTCCTGGAGTTAAACTGTAGCAACCTCACTGGGGAAGCCCTTGCTGCTGGAGCAGAGCTGTTACACTGGGGCAGCCTTTCCCTGGAGCAGGGCTGTAAGATGCTACATTTACTGTGACCTGTGGGATTCTGAGCTCCAAATTGCCAGAATACCATCTGGGCTGTAATGCTTACAGCCCTGCCCTAATCTACCACTCAGGTGGCATGGGTGAGAGAGATGCCTACCTACTCCCTTGCCACCTGTGGCAAACAGGGAACCTGACCCAGACCCTCACTAGCTGCAGCACTTGGGAGAACAGGCCCTGGTCCTCACCTGGGCAGCACAGTAGAACTGACCCTGTTGACAGGGGTGTGGGCGAATTGTCCCCAAGAATGTAAATTCACAACTCCTGGTCACCAAGCCTTTGACTGTTGTTCCCATTACCAAGTCACCAATAGCAATCCCTAAGTTGGTGTTTCCCGAAGGATACCTTATCATACCCTCTGATATACTACTGCCTTTTAGAACTAAAGCAAGGGTACTTAGTAGAAACAGGTTATTTTTCACAGCATCAAGGAAAATCAGTATGTATCTTTGTTCCTTTAGAGTAATTTCGGTCTCAATTCTTTTCTTTTATTGTTTGAGAATTTCACACAAGCATATAGTATGTTTTGATTAAATCCACCCCTACACCCCTAAATTCCTCCACACACAAACCACAGACTTTCCTTTCTCAACTTCATGCGCTTGTTTTGTTTTCTTTAACTGAGGCCACTTAGTCCTGTGTCCACATGCATGCTTAGGACATGTACCAGAGCATGGGCAACCTCTCATGTCTGTCCCACATCCCTGAAGAAAACTGCCAACAGCTTCTCAGCTAGGGGAGTGGGACTTCAGGACCACCTCCCCACTCCATGCAGGGATTTTGTCTGGCTTCATCTTGCATATATAAGTCTTGTGAATGCTGTCACAACTGCTATAAATTTATATGTGTAACTATCCGTGTCCAGAAAACATTATTTCATTGTAGTTACCCACAACAACCACTGGGTCTTCCGATCATTAACTTAGCATTCAGCCATTCACACAGGAGTCATATCCAACTAAAAAATAAGCCATGTATACATAGTGAAATAAAGACTTCAGCTTTAGTTAACAGAAATTTAATAAAAACCTAACTGCAGGAATTTCATCCTATTAAAAAATGACAACTGCCTACTAAGCACAAATATTAGACACTTTCTCTGTTTTGTAAAATAGAATCAACAATATAGGGCAGGTCCACAGGAATACAAATAAAACAAAGGTCTAGATTCCTTTCTATTTCAGGTGAGGGTCATTTGTGTTTCAACCCTAAACAAAATACCAGTTTACAGTCTAAATTCAATCATGACAATAAAATACATTCCATTTTCCAAGTTGCTGGTAATAAATATTTACATTTTTAAAAATAGTTTTGGGTGGTTTTTTTTTTCTTTTTAAAAAGACACAGCATGCTGGAGTACACAGAATATGGAAAACATCATGTTGCAGGGTCACCTGGTGGTATAAAACGGTCTTCTGTATTCAAGAGTGCCACCCTCAGAGACACTACCATGATCTACCTCAGGGTGATGTTCAAGTATGCTCCTCGGAACACTATCACTACATTGTACTAGTAAGCAGTGCTCTAACATGTGCAGTCTTCAGTATCTTCTATACCCACCTCCTCCTCCTCCTCCTCCTCCATATGGATCTCCATAACCTCTTCCACCATAGCCCCCTCGCCCACCATAGCCCCCCCGCCCACCATAATCTCCTCTCCCACCATAATCTCCCCTGCCCTGGAAACCTCCTCTACCACCTCCACCTCCTCCACCTCCTCCCCACCCTCCTCCCCCTCCTCCACCCCCTCCCCATCCTCCTCCACCACCCCATCCTCCTCTTCCACCCCCACCGCCTCCTCGACCACCACCTCCACCTCCACCACCCCAACCACCCCTCCCTCCGCCTTCTTGTCTCTTCTGCCAAGGGGGCATTTCAGGGGGTGGGGGTTCAATCTCGTTCGGCCGTCCTCCCCTGTCAGGCACCCTGCCCATAAGCACCTGTGTAAAAAGAGTTTTCGTTAAGTTTCTGTTTTTCAAAGTTAAAATTTACATAAAGGTTTCAGATAATATTAAAGTTATTATTTCTAAATAAAGAAGCCAAATTCATAAAAGGGTTGAATGCAATATGAATTAAGACTGAGAATATAAATGTGATGTTTGACAAATTCCTCAGAGTACAATATTTTTAAACAAATTAAAGCAGTATTCCCTACAGTTAAAGTCTTGTTAATTTTCTCTCAATTAAATTTGTTTAGCAAAATTTATGACGAGCATGGTATCCGTCACATTAAGAACTATTTTAGCAAAATGTTTTTAAGACACAAACTATATAACCTACATTAGTCAACTTCAGATCCACTTATTAATACAACTCTGACTTCCCACAAGGGTTGATTTGGCACTGGGTTATCCATAACTCTGCACTCCTCAGATATATTTAGTTCATCAGTGTATAAAGATTATATAACATGCAGCACCCTTTGAATGTAACAACAATTCCCAAGTCATGTTTTTAGTAGTTTCCTTGCAGAGGGAGACATTCCATCCTGCAGGGAGCTCATTCACACAGGAAGAAAACAACCCGAAGTCCCTAAAACTGACCAGATTCACTAGGTCCCTCCTTCCCTGAAGTGTGCAAACAGAAGAGTGCTGAGCATCTCTCGCAGGAGCTAAGCTGCAAAGAAGCCGGGCTGCCCTGAAGAAGCAGAGACAGGCAGCACTGCATGAGGAAATGAAGACCAGCCCAGGTGTTGGGAGGAAGCTCAAACTGTGCCACCTGCTGAGCTGCCTGCAGACTGTGCAGTGTGCTCCAGATTCCCAGCTTTTGTGAATTGTCACCATGCTAGGGTTGGCTTTGCTGATATAGCTGTCTGAGGCATTTCTGCTCACCCATATTCCTGTGAGTAGCCCCTCCCCCATATTCCTGTGAGTAACCCCTCATCCATATTCCTGTGAGTAACTCCAATAAAACTCACTGGTTGGAAGTTGGGGGTATTCCTACTCTGTATCTGTCTAGACTCCAAATCTGGGTAGAGTCGCCACAGACAAATTTTGTCTCATAACAAGTGACACAGAGAAGGATTCTCCTGAACTTAAGATCAGTGATGTACTTACTATAATATTACAGCATAGACAATCTAACTCTAAATCCAAGACGTGACCGCTTCACAATTCAAATCTTTTGAGCACCAACATAATGGCACAGTGAAAAATTCTACAAATGACATCCTGGTTTGCACAGTAGAAGCACAGGCACACAAAAAATATGGCACAGAATTGCCCTCAAACTGTGTGTATAAGGTACACATAAAACAAATTCTGTGTTTTAACACTGGTCTCATCCCAAGATCATAATGTGGCTATTCTAAATAAATAAAAAAGTAGATAATATATAGCATTTAAATCAATTTTTAATTACAATTTAGATCTTTATTAAATGTCGTTTAAAAACACAAGCATTTCAGAGATGCTGCCCCAAAACAGCCCATAAACTCTCCCTCAACTAATCAAACTATAAAGTAAAAACTCAGAAAAGACTGTCTTAAAACACCCATGCTGAGGGACAGCAAGGAGGAGGGACAGCATGAGGGCTTGGCAGAGCACTTACCTAGCATGCAGGAGGGGCGAGGGAGGGGAACCAATGCCACTGGCAAGGGATCCTATCTCAAATCAACTGCTGCACCACTGCTATGGATACTTTTGTTCTCTAGTCATCATAAAACTGCCTGTGGATGCTCTACTAGATACAGAAACCTTCCTACTCAAGCTGATGGCGACATTCTGGATTTGTCTGCAGAGCTCTGCCATTACACAGGCAAAATCACAGACATCTTGAACTTCATGAACACCACTGTCATATGAGCTGAACAATGCTATAGAGGTTTTAATTTAATAAATAAGTAGTGGCAAAAATTCCTACAGATTCCTACTAATTAAATGGGTAGAGCAAATACTTGGTGAATCTACTGTGAATCTACTTCTCAATTCCTCTAGTTCAGGAAGCTTTGATTAACTTCATGACTACAAAAATGGAAAGGTGCGTACAAGTGATAAATAAATGTAGAGGATATAAGCCCCTCTACCACTCTTTTCTCATCCATGGACATACATGAAAAAATGGACTAAAATCTATAAAAATAGCAAACCAGAAAGTTGTTAATTATTCTCCATGAAGCTGAAAGAAAAACTGACCTTATTAATGGCACATGCTGTCTTCTCCCGGTTGATGCCACTGCTTGTCCTGATGATCTTAGACAGATCCTCACGGGCAGCCAGTAGATGTGCCAACGTGACTGTTGTCTTGGGCGACAAGGCATACCGCTTGGGCTGGTAAATTCTTGCTATATTATCTGTTTTTGCCTAAATGATAATGGAGGGGAGGGGATTAGCAGAAGCAAATCTGAATGAAAAGCAGTAGTGATCATAATCTTTAGAAGAAGACAATTCATAATAAACAAGTAAGGAAACAGAGAAGAGAGGAAGCATCCCAAAACACAATGCAATGTATGTAGTCAAATAAATAGGAAGAAATAATACAATAAGTAAAACAAAACAATACTATTATATAACACAATACAAAACAGGCAATAAATCTTGCAGAAACAAAAGCTGAACTTGAAGAAATGGTGAGGACCATCAAATGTCTTGATGGGTATACTGGCTGTTGTCACTTTCCTTCAGTTTAACTTACACATGTAGAGCAACTGGAGTCCTATTGGGAATGGTTTTAAGCAAGACAAGAAAATAAACAAATAAAAATCTAATGTTAACTAGAACCTAAATATGGAAGAATGACTTAAAGTATTTTTAAAGAAGAGTCCTAACATATGCTTAAATGAAATATGAATTCACCTTTTTTTTTTCTTTTGAGACAGTTTCTCTATGTAGCCCTGGATATCCTGGAACTCTGCTTTGTAGACCAGGCTGGCCTTGAATTCACAGAGATCCACCTGCCTCAGCCTCCCGAGTGCCAGAAATAAAGGCGTGACGACCACACCCAGCTGAATTTATCATTTTAAAGCTAACATTTACATTTATTAAATGTGCTAAAATGCTTTCAACTTAGCAGGTATTTAATCCTCAAACCACCCTTCCATAATTGTTCATTTTATCACCCCCATCTGCAGATTTCTTAAGTTACAGATATAAGAGGGATGGACGGGAGGATGAAGGGAGGGAGGGAGGGAGGGAGGGAGGGAGGGAGGGAGGGAGGGAGGGAGGGAGGGAAGGGAGGGAGGGAGGGAAGGGAGGGAGGGAGGGGAGGGAGGGAAGGGAGGGAGGGAGAGAACTTAAGTCCCTAAAACACAGTGAGAAATCCCAGTTGTAGCACTGCACCCTGAACACAACACTCAGGACATCAACTAACTGCCATGCCTATCTGTTTAACTGAAACTTGGAACAAAAAAGATTGATGAAACAAGACAGAAAATGAATATTTAGAGTCTCGTAAATAAGTGAATGTAAAAATAATCCAAGAAGCAACACAGATTAATGAGCAAAAGAAAAGATTATTTCCCATGGGGTGGCATGAGCTGGTGGACACTCAGAACATCAGTGATGACATCAGCAGTGAGGCACACATTCACCAAAAGACATCCCATAGAGCAGAGTTGTTTCCATACATTATACATCAAAGGGTTTAAACTAGAATCATGAGAAAACTGGGAAATATTCTTAAAGTAATACATGAACTTTCTTAACAAAAAAGATCAATTAAAAGGAAACCAGGAAGGCACAGGAAATAGCATCCAGACACAAATAGAAAACAGGAAATTCAAATGACTAATAGGCCTATGAAAAAGTTTAATTTTCCTGATAAGAAGAAACAAGTAAGTTAACCTTTTTATCTATCAAATTATCAAGTTAGAAATAAAGTTGGTGATAGATATCTCTAGTATGAAGATAAAGTGAGACATGACAGTATTTACCCCTGTACAGAAGCTTCAAGTATTAAAACTAATAACATTTCACGTAACAAATACCATTTTAGGAATCTACCATAATAAATTGAAATTTACAGTAAATTATGAAAGTTATAAAAATTATATATAAAATTGATGTTAAATAATATAGGGAAAGGTATAAAATTAGAGTTAAGCAAATTGTGGCATCATAAGGTAAATTTAGTATAATCTTCAAAAGACACTGGAGAGAGCACCTTGCACCTAGGCCCAGCTCCTGAGGGTACAGAAAGCACTGTGCGTCCAGGGCTCTAGCTCCCATAGGTACAGGCCGCCTGCTCCAGTGGATCCAGAGAGTACCTGAGAAAGATGCTCCAGAGGGACCCAGGAGCACCATGAGACCAAGTTCCCATCTCCTGCAGTCTCAGAGACCCATGCAGGGTCTGAGCTTTGGATCTAGGGGTCTAAGGTCAGTACTATTGTGAGGTTTTAACTTCTGATTACCATAGGACTGAAAACCAATACTTCTGTGGTTCCAGAGCTTACTCCAGCCCTGTACTATAGCCACAGGCCCCAGACAGTACACAGACTTCAGTGTGTCTGAAATTTGCTATCCTGCCCCTAGCGGGCTCGTAGACTCCAAGGGCAGACCAAAGGTTTGACTCCATGTGGTTGTCTCCAGATCTAGTGTGCAATGTCTTGGTCTTGTGGTGCACAGCCAAGATGGAAATCATGTCAGAGCTTCCATTTGACAATCAACACCAAGTTTCACCAGTCCCCAAAGATGAACTCAGAGACATCCCTCTAGGATACCAGCTCTTAACATGTGGAGCTCAACCCTTTGGGGATTGAATGATCCTTTCACAGGGGTCACATATCAGATATTCTGCATATCAAATATTTACATTACAATTCATAAAAGTAGCAAAATTACAGCTATAAAATAACAACAAAGAGCCAGGCCGACTCACCCCCAGAGGACCAAGCAACCAGGAGCATGCTGAGAGTGCAGGTCTACTCTGGTCCCCACTCAGGGCAGAGGAGAGGGAGTGCCTCATACACACCTGCACCCACCATAAGAGCCACCAGAGTTTTGGACCTGCTTGCATTCACCAGAAGAGAACCTTGGACCCGTACCTACCAGGAAAGGAAGAGATCCCCCCCACTCACTGGAACAGAGGATGGGAAGACGACAATATAAGAACACATTCAACAACAGACAAACCAATATGACACCTCTAGAGTCTAGGTACTCTACACCAGCAAGACTGGAACATCCCAACACAGAGGAAGCAGAAGAGAGCACCTTAAAAACAACTTCATGAAGCTGATACAGACCCTAGAAGAACAAATGAGAAAATCCTTTAAAGAAATACAAGAAAACACAAATCAAAAATTGCAAGAAAAAATTCAAACAGTGCAAGGTTTGAGAGCTGAAATAGAGACAATAAAAAAAAACCACAGTCTGAAGGAATGCTGCAATTACAAAAGGTGAGTAAACGATTAAACGATCAGGAACTACAGATGCAAGCATAACCAACAGAATACAAGAGTTGGAAGAGAGAAACTCAGGCATTGAAGATTCACTAGGAGAAATAGATTCACCGACAAAGAAAATCCCTAACACAAAATATCCAGGAAACATGGGACACCGTGAAAAGGTCAAATCTAAGAATAATTGGGATAGAAGAAGGGGAAGAAACCCAACTCAAAGGTGCAGAAAACATATTCAACAAAATCATAGAAGAAAACTTTCCCAACCTAAAGAAAGACATGCCAATGAAAGTACAAGAAGTCTACAGAACACCAAATAGAGTAGACTACAAAAACAAGTCCCCTCGTCACATAATAATCAAAACCCCAAACATACAGAAGAAAGAATATTAAGAGCAGCAAAGGAAAAAGGCCAAGTAACATATAAAGGCAAACCTATCAGAATCACACCTGACTTCTCCATGGAAACTCTGAAAGCCAGAAGGTCCTGGATATATGTTCTGCAAACACTAAGAGACCACGGATGCCAGCCCAGACTACTATACCCAGCAAAGCTTTCAATCACTATAATTGGAGAAAACAAGATATTCCACAACAAAACCAGATTTAAACAATACATATCCACTAATCCAGCCCTATAGAAAGTATTGGAAGGAAAATTTCAATCTAAGGAAGGTAACTACACTCACAAAAACATAGGCAATAGATAATCCCACTTTACCAAAAGTCAAAAGAAAAAGTGGGATAAATCCATAAACAGTAACACCAACAACAACAAATCAAAAACAATTAACACTCAATGGTCCTTAATCTCCCTCAATATTAATGATCTTAATTTGCCTATAAAAAAACACAGGCTCTAGAACAAAAAAAGTAAACTCACCCTGGAGGAGTAGACAGGAAATAATCAAATTGAGGGTTGAAATCAATAAAGTCAAAACAAAGAACACAATATAAAAATCAATGTAACAAAGAGTTGGTTCTTCCAGAAAATCAACAAGATAGACAAACCTTTATCCAAACTGACCAAAAGGCAGAGAGAGAACTTGCAAATTAACAAAATCAGGAATGAAAACGGACATAATAACAAACACTGAGGAAATCCAGAGAATCATCAGGTCATACTTTGAAAACCTATACTCCACAAGATTCAAAAACTTAAAGGAAATGGGCAACTTTCTAGATAGATATCACTTACCAAAATTACATCAAGAACAGATAAGCAATTTAAACAGGCCTATAACCCCCTAATGAAACAGAAACAGTCATCAAAAGTCTCACAACCAAAAAATGTCCAGGCCCAGATGGCTTCAGTGCAGAAATTCAAAGAGCTAATTCCAATACTCCTCAAAGTGTTCCACACAATAGAAGCAGGAGGTGCGTTGTCAAACTCTTTTTACTAGGCTACAATTACCTTGGTACCCAAGCCACACAAAGACACAACTAAGAAAGAGAACTACAGACCAACATCCCTCAGGTACATTGATGGAAAAATACTCAATAAAATACTGGCAAATCAAATCCAAGAAACATCAGAAAAATCATCCACCATGACCATGTAAGGCTTCATACCAGGGATGCAGGGATGATTCAACATGTGAAAATCTATCAGTGTAATTCACCATATAAACAAACACCACATGATCATCTCACTTGATGCTGAAAAAGCCTTTGACAAAATCCAACACCCCTTCATGATAAAGGTCCTGGAGATCAGGGATAACAGGAACATACCTGAACATAATAAAAGCAATATACAGTAAACCAACAGCCAACGTCAAACTAAATGGAAAGAAACTAATTGCAATTCCTCTAAAATCAAGAACAAGACAAGGCTGCCCACTCTCTCTATACCTCTTTAATATTGTACTTGATGTTCTAGCTAGAGCAGTAAGACAACAAATGGAGATCAAGGAGATACAAATTAGAAAGGGAGAAGTCAAACTTTCACTATTTGCAGATGAT